CAATACATAACCAGACCCCACCTTTGATGTGTCCCCCATATTTACATATATTTGAATGGCTGCCCTGGTCTTCTGCCATCCCCTGGCTGAAGTCTTTTGGGATTTCCCCTCTCTCTCCCCTTCTGGCTTGCTACTGTAGTTTGTGTTTCTTCCTGGGAATAACCTCTCTCTTACAAAAATACCCACTTCTCTCCCATGCTTCAGTGTGGCATCCATCCTTTTCACAAGGGAGAGGGACCTGGAGTTAAAAGAGGGCAGGGAGAGGAGGAGAGAGTTAGCGCTAAGAGAGATCTGGACCTTACTTCCGTCTCTATTGCAGCGACTACCACAAGCACCACTGTGTACTTTCCTGTTGTTGGTTTTATTCGCTCTGTGTTTACCATCATTGTCAGCGATGAAGACTTTGAGAAAAACCCGAAGAGTTGTGGACTTGCTTCAGAGACGAGGAGCACAGGAAAAATTCTGAGAGTAGATTCTCTTCTGTTTCTGTGTTTGAGGAAGCAGGGAAGGGAGCGAGTAAGACTGAACCCAAGCAAAAAGTGGTGGGGACAAAAAAGAAGCAGACAGCCTGGTCTCTGAAATTGGATAAATGAAAACAGGATAATAAAGATCTGCCCAACCCAGTATGAGCGGCATCTCTGGGATTTTCCACTGGCTGGAGGCCTGGGCCTTCCTGCTCCTCTGGCCTCTGGCCTCGGTTCCCCTTCCCAGACCACAGTGGTTCCCATGAAAGGCTGGTGGGGAGGGAGCGAGGTGGGGAGAAGAAATATCTGATCCTTTTCTAGGACTGCTCTAGGTCGAGTTATCGTCGTTCAAAGTAGAAATCTATGCAAAGATGCCACAGAAACACTGTTGTATGAGATGGTTAAGCTCTGTAGTTGTATTACCAAATATAATAGTTTTCTTGAGCTTTTCAGCACAACCCAGAATATACCAGAGCCCCATCCACCATGCATTCTATGAGGTAAACGTATGTTGAGTTTCAAACAGCATTCATACATTGAGAATTGCTTCTGTGGTATGACATCACATGTACAGAACATGTTAAGCTTGAAAAGCACATCTTAACCCACTGACATTTCAAACAGGCTACATAAAATTAAAAACTGTATTTTTTTTTAACTTTTTATTAAGATTATGATAGTTTACAACCTTGTGAAATTTCAGTTGTACATTATTGTTTGTCATGTTGTAGGTGCACCACTTCACCCTTTGTGCCCTCCCCCCAACCCCCACCCCCCTTTCCCCTGGGAACCAACAATCAATTCTCTTTGTCTCTATGTTTAACTTCCATCTATGAGTGGAGTCATACAGAGTTTGTCTTTCTCTGTCTGGCTTATTTCACTTAACATAATACCTTCAAGGTCCATCCATGTTGTTGTAAATGGGACGATTTTATCCTTTTTTATGGCTGAGTAGTATTCCATTGTATATATACATACCATATCTTCTTTATCCAATCGTCAGTTGATGGGCATTTAGGTTGCTTCCACGTCTTGGCTATTGTAAATAATGCTATGATGAACATAGGGGTGTGTGGAACTTTTGGAATTGCTGATTTCAACTTCTTTGGATAGATCCCCAGTAGTGGGATGGTTGGGTCATAAGGTATTTCTATTTTTAATTTTTTGAGAAACCTCCATACTGTTTTCCATAGTGGCTGCACCAGTTTGCATTCACACCAACAGTGTATGAGGGTTCCTTTTTCTCCACAACCTCTCCAACAATTGTCACTTTTTGTTTTGGTTATTGTTGCCATTCTAACAGGTGTAAGGTGATATCTTAGTGTAGTTTTGATTTGCATTTCCCTGATGATTAGTGATGGTGAGCATCTTTTGATGTGTGTATTGGCCATCAGTATATCTTCTTTGGAGAAATGTCTGTTCATGTCCCCTGCCCATTTTTTGATCGGGTTCTTTGATTTTTTGTTGAGCTGTGTGAATTCTTTATATATTATAGAGATTAACCCTTTGTCGGATAAATAACTTGTAAATATTTTATCCCAATTAATGGGTTGTTTTTTTGTTTCAATCCTGTTTTCCCTTGCCTTGAAGAAGCTCTTTAGTCTGATGAAGTCCCATGTGTTTATTCTTTCTATTGTTTCCCTTGTCTGAGAAGACATGGTGTCTGAAAAGATTCTTTTGAAACTGATGTCAAAGAGTGTACTGCCTATATTCTCTTCTAGGAGACTTATTGTTTCAGGCCTAATCTTTAGATCTTTGATCCATTTTGAGTTTATTTTTGTGAATGGTGAAAAAGAATGGTCAATTTTCATTCCTTTACATGTGGCTGTCCAGTTTTCCCAGCACCATTTGTGGAAGAGACTTTCTTTTCTCCATTGTAGGCCCTTAAAAACTGTATTTTTAAGACCCATTGTTTTTTGGTATAATGACATATATTTGCATATATTATATTTATGTATAATAATATTAATTTATGTATTAAATTTGGCTAAGTAAATGTATCTTTTAGGATCTATTTATTGTAATGGGAAGTGGCTTGATAAGACAGTTTTGTTCTTTTGTTGAACTAGGAAAATGTTTTCTTTCCAATAGCCAGTATTTTATTCTAAGATAATGATCTCATGCTATATTGAAAATTTAAAAAAATACTTTTATAATATTTAACAAGCCCAGAAGTTAGAATGCTGCATGGAAAGTAACAACCAAGGACACATTAACATTTGCTTTTAATTGTTGTAACCCTTATATCAATTAGATGAGGATGCGGGCAGTTATTTAGTCATGGAAAGAAAACATAAGACTTGTTTACCAAATTGAAAAGAAATTAAGAAAGTGATTTTCTCTGGATTACATTTCTACTCAAATGTACTCTCCAAATTCAAGTTATTTTCCTAATTATATTTGTATGAGATGAATTTTTAAACCTCTTTGTACACTTTATGCTCTTGATTGGAAATTAAACATCAATTGCGTTTCTATTAACTGGAAATCCCTGCTTAATGGTAGTCTTTAAAGATGTGATTTGAGCAAGGTATTTGCCTTGGAATGATAAGAATAGTAATGAAATTGCATCTATTGGCTGCTTTAAAGTTTACAAAGTACTTCCTGTACGGAGGCAGTGTGGTGTCATGGAAAGACCTGAGGCTTTGACTTCAGACCTCAGTATGAACCCCAACTTAGCCATTTACTTGCTATTACTCACCCTTCCTGAGTCTCAGGTTTCTCATCTGTAAAATGAGGATAAAATGTTGAGATGCTGTTGTGAATATTAAACAAGAACGAATGCAGGCAAAGATCTTAGCATGAAACAGTAGCCTTACAAACCTCAATATTTAATCTTCACAATTTTGGTAGGAAGTAACTTTTATCTCTGTTTTACAGATGAATCAGCTGAGGTAGGTAACTGATCCAGGGTCACCAAATCTGTTTTATGACTCCAAGGCCAGGGCACTTCCCTCCTCTTGGCTGCTTCTGGAACAAGACTGCAAAAACTGATAAAATACTCAGCATTGACTGTTAGATGTGACCATTCAGATGCACTCTAGCTTCTCTTAAGGCGGCGATTCCCAGCCCTTTTTACCCACTGACATGCATGTGATGCTATAAGACTCAAGGCTGCTGGCACCTAAGTTGACACTCCATCCTTTTCTCTCCTGCTTACAAAAGCCCAAGGAGGGAGAATGTCTATGAATAGGGACAACCTGCAATCCAGCCCATTCCCAACCTCCCTAGTATTTTATTACTGAAAGCTCATTTCGTCGAACACATTTTACAACTACTGCAACACATCCCAGTTGGGAAGCGCTGCGTAAGATGTGTTCTAGGCAGAATAAGTAGATCATTTTGTAGTAGAGGGTTCTTACTGGAGAGTGATGAGAGAGATTGGTGGGCCTAGTAGGAGTCTAAAAAGTTAAGACTTTATCTTGTAGGCAATCAGAGGTTCTTGACTAGGAAAGCAACAGGATTAAAATGGCGGTCTGAAGGATGGTTTGGAAGCAAAAACGCTTGGAAGCCAGGAGACCAGTTGAACTATTGAAGTGAACCAGGTGGGATGAGATGAAGAAGGCCTGAACTAAAGCAGTGGCAGTGAGATTGGAAAGGAATAAGCAGACACAAGATGACTTGTGACTGGATATGCATGGACAAGCAGGGAGGTAAAGGGGACAAGTGATAAGCAGAACTTTCAAAATATGCTGTCAGTTAGGCAATCAGTGTCCTTCTGTAATTATATTTTACGTAAATGTATAAAATGATCTTGCAGCCCCAGGACTTAGTATCCTGTTGGTGGAAAGGAGACAATCCAGAGGGTGCCAAAGGGTAGAGAAAGCATAAGCTTAGCAACTAGACATTTACAGGCCATAGTTTGTAAAATATTAATACAGCCTGGTTTTTAACCAAGTTGTTGCCTTATGGAATTGTTTGAGTAGCCTGCTGCACTGGTTTCTGATCCTAGGCTACGGGACTTTGAGGTTAGTCATGCAAACATACTGCTATCTGAATTTTGAACTTGACTCTGGAACATTAAAAGTGGGTGCCCTGGTGATAGGGAGCACTTGGTGAGTTGCTACCCTTGGCGTCTGACCAGCCAATAACTAGAATGTTTGAAGTGACTAAGAAAATGCTTTTTAAAACCGTGCATTGAGGTCATCTGATAGACCGTGTGCCCCGTGCCCGTGGGTGCAGGCTCCCTACGGGCAGGGATTTTTGTTTTGCTCATTGCTGTATCCTTAGCAGAGAACAGAACCTATCACTTAGTAGATGCTCAATAAATAATTGTTGGATGAATAGGTGAAACCAAGGATCATGACTGTCTGGCTCACCACTATAGCCCAAGTCCTGGGCACAATGCTGATTGCATAGGAGGAGCTGAGTAAAGGTTTATTGAATTGAGTTGAAATGAATTGGACAGCATTTGCACTAGGGAAACAAATTTTTACTTGGTTTTATATTGTGTGAATACAGCAAAATAATGTGCTGTTGATAATTCTTTGCTTGTGCTATTAAACAGTAACAAAACGGTACTCGTTCTTTCTCTAGCGATGACGTGGAACAATTTATGGAAAGCCAAGGTGCATCCAGTCCAGGTATCCTCATGTTAACAACAAGCCTCAGCAAACCGTTCATGCGACTGGAAAAGTATGTTACTCTCTTGCAAGAGTTGGAACGGCATATGGAGGTAAGGGAAGGCGAGCCTTTTTAAGCTCGTGTACAAACTCTGGCCTTTCCTGTGGAGGAAGTAGCCAGTCTGCCTCCAAACTAACCTTGCTGAGGAATTCAGAAAAACCTTTGGTTTCAAAATGTACTTGGTTCAATCTTCCTTCTTCCCAGGCTTCTAGTTTTCCTCTTTATGCAGCAAAATAAGAAGGGGACATTTTCTTTTTCTCTCAAGATTTTTAAATTTTTTACTTATTTAATATATTTTTCCAGCTTTATTGGGGTATGATTGACAAATAAAAGTTGTGCATATTTAGGTTGTACAGCGTGATTTTTTTAAGGTGTACAACGTGATGATTTACTATATTTATTCGTTGTGAAATGGTCACCAGAATCAAGTTAATTAACACATCCGTCACCTCGCATAGTTACCATTTTTTTAAAGTGGTGAGCACACTTAAGGTTTACTCTCTTAGCAGATTTCCAGTATACAATGCAGTGTTATAAACTGTAATCCCCATGCTGCACCTTAGATCTCCAGACTTACTCATCTTACGATGAAAGATCCCCATCCGTTACTACTAAATATTCGTGATCATTCTCCCTCCCCCTTCTTCTCCTCCCAGCCTTGGTCCCGTTGCTTCCCTCAAGTCTATGCTGACTTACTGACAGGCTTTCTTCTGCCCTCTCATCTGTAGATGGCGGTTCAATCAAAATCGACGAGAAATCTGTTGTTCTGGTATATGAACCAACTTTCTTGTGGGAGATAGGCAAAGCAAATCAACATCAGAAAACGTAAAGAACACTTTCACTGTAGACAGGAATATTGATCTCCAGAGCACTGTGATCATTCGCCTTTCTGACTCTGGATTTCAATGGAAGATTCTGGTATTTCCTTATAGATTAATGAATGGGTCCATTGTTGGTTTATCTCTCCGTGCATCCGTACATCTACATGAAAGTTCTCTCACATTTTTCTTTATAAACTTACAGTTTCCTTCCAACAGCTGGGGCATAGCTATGATCCTTTCTAAATACTAAGATTTGCAACAAGGCCTGATGACTGACTGTGTTTTCGTCAAGAGCCCAGATCCTCTAATTAAAACCCAATGAACACAGAGAGCTTCTTGAGCTGAGCTTGTGCAATCGAGCATGGGGGATTGAGGCGTGAGTGGGAGAGGAGGGCCCGCTGGGGGAGGCAGCATTTACCCTAGTTGCTCTTCCTGTGTCTGGGGAAAGGTTTTGAGGTTTTAAAGGGTTTAATTATCTTTAAAGAAAAAGGTTGCACGCTGCCGGTCTTGTCAGCATTTGTAAGGATTGAAAGCATGTATTCTGAGCGAAACCACATTCTCAGGTTATTTGACTTGCCAGAAAGTTAGAGGCAGTGGGGAGCTAGTGAGTAAAGCCTACCAGAATGAAATTTCAGTTAGGGCTCGGGAAGGTGGTGACCTCTGGATGCCTTTCCAAAAGCTAAAAGAGTTTGCTGAACCGTTTGAGGTTTGCCCCTCCTTGCTTATCACAAAAATCCAGAAACGAGTGGCCTCAGTTTCTGTTACTGCTCGCTGCTGAAGTACTAATATACACTTAATTTGGGGGGGAAAATCCCCAGATGCTCTTCCTGCCTGGGTCCTTTGTCTTGGCCTTCCTTGAATCAGAGCCCGTTTCTACTCCTGCCTCCATTTGCTGTTGGTCGCTTGCCTTTGGCTGCTGTCCATTTCCCACCGTCAGATGATGCACACCCTTTGCACTAGTTTCACCATCCAGGGAGACACTTTATCCCCCTTTCTGATGTTTAGCATGGCTGCTGGCTAATGGTAGAGTAGAACCTGAACTTCTCAGTTATCAGCTGATTTGGGTAAGGATAAATTTAACTCTAAAAGAATACAACCTTTCTTTACATAAGTGACACTTTTCTTGGCTTCGGTCAGATCCGTCGTCTGTTCAGCTCTGTATTTTATCACTCAAGGCTGGTCAAGCAGCAGATTTTTTTTTCCCATTACTCCAGCTGAATTCCAAAGGTTAGGTATACATATACTCCCAAGGGTAGCCACACATCTACACTCCTTCCACCCCAATGTTAGGGGTACATCTACCCCAAGATACTCTATTTTCACTTCATAAACAATTTTGGAAATGTGGGTTCTTCAAAGCCATGTTTGAACTTGTCTACTTTTCGGGGTTGTAAGTACCATATAATTACAGACCATATGTAATAACCTTGCTTAAGAAGGAGCACATGATTTGAAACTTGGAATTTTTTTCCATCTGCCGTGTTGAGTCTGCCAAAAGAAAATGGAGGCATTTTAGGAAATGCGTTTGGATGGCCTTTTCTCTAACCACCACTGTTTGCACAATTCCCTACCTCTTGTCATTTACTAACAATGTGACCTAAGGATGCCCCCCAAATAATTATTATTTGTTATCTAAAGTATAATAGCAAAAAGAGAAACGGGAACTCTTGCCTCAATAACCACACCTTAGTATACTGTTATGAAATATATGATGTTACCAGCTGTCTTAATTTCTTAATCACATAATAATTGGAGGTACTCAGATTCCAAATGCTCAAATGCTGTTTTATTTTTTATCTTCAAATTAGCATACAGTAAAATTGACTTTTTTTCTTTTGATGTACAGTTCTATGACTTTTAACACATGTATAGATTCGTGTTACCACCACCACAATCGAGATACAGAACAGTTCCATCATCCCCCCAAATTTCCTCTTTCTATTTCTTTGCAGCTACACCCTTCTCCCACCCCTAACCCCTGGCAACCACTGCTTCATTCTTCTTTAATATTGTTTTAAAATATATTCCTTTAATAGGATACGCATCCAGATCATCAGGATATTCTGAAAGCAATCATAGCATTCAAAGCTCTCATGGTAAGTGATGCTCTAAAATTATAATTCTCCATTTTGTATGCTTTGTTCCTAAAAGAGTGATTTGTGTGTAACATTTCTTTCCTTATCAAAGGTCTTTAGAGTGGAAACAATAAGCTTTAGTGACAGTATCGCAGTGATTGTTTCATTTAATTTTGTCTTCCAAAAATCATGCTTACCTATGAAAGGTTGCCAGGCTGAGGGTATAAAGCATTCACATTTGAAGTCTCTGCCACATTAAGCATCACTGTGTAGGTGGGGGGTTTCCTTTTGTCTCTTTGTCTTTACCCCCTTGTTCCTCACTTTATGTCTGTGCAAGTTGTAGTTCACTGATTGCCATCAATACTGGATTCATCTACTTATGCCAAAAAGTGTGAGTTTATTCTTTGCATATAAAAGAGAAATGCTTTATCAAATCTAAAAGGAAAAAACCTACTAAAATACAATTGCTTTATATAGACTGCTATCAAAGTTACCTCTAATCTTGAATCTTGAGCATGATGGTTAACGTCTTCTTGAACCCTCGGATGTAAAACCACTTGGTGGCATTTTAAGAGGAAAGAAAATGTTATTTTGGGTGATTAAGTTTAGCTTTATTTTAGACATTTCTGTAGCATTCCAAGTGTTTGGGATCAATCTGTAATTGTTGATTCTTGCTGCAACGTTGTGAGGCAACATTTGCCATCATGTTGTTTATTGCTGTTGAATGACCAGTACCTAACGTGTTCATGGGTAAACAGCCAAGCTGAATACCAGAGTAGAGTATTAGGTTAAAATTGCTATTGTTGTAGGTAAAAAACAGTTGAACATTGGCGGCTCTACATGCCTCAACCTAAGAGAACAGCCCACTGAAACCCATGGCCTTTATTTATTTATTTATTTATTTTAATTTCCAATGATTTTATTTTTCCAGATGGATTGAGGTGTAATTGGCAAATATTGTATATATTTAAGGTGTTTAACATGATGATTTAATATAATATACCTTATCAAATGACTACCATAATCAAGTTAATTAACATACCCATCACCTCACATAGTAACATTTTTTTTGCAGTAACATTGGTTTATAATATTATATAAGTTTCAGGTGTAGATCATTAAATTTCGATTTCTGTGTAGATTACATCATGTTCACCACCCAGAGACTAATTACAATCCATCGCCACACACATGTGCCTAATCACCCCTTTCACCCTCCTCCCTCCCCCCTTCCCCTCTGGTAACCACCAATCCCATCTCTGTTTCTATGTGTTTGTTTGTTGTTGTTTTTACCTTCTATTTATGCGTGAGATCACATAGTATTTGACTTTCCCCATGGAATTTATTATCATTTATGTCTCTTTTACTTTTTCCTATGTAAGTTGAATATAAAGTGCCTCTTTTTTAAAGCAATATTTCTTTCTGATCATTTTACATGTTGTAAAACTTGCTTTGATGACTATAGTATATTTCTTCCCACTATAAATGCTTCAAAAGTATGTGTACAATAAATTTAGTTCTTCATTTCCATTTAGCTGAAAGGGGCAGCAGAGATTTTGTAGAAAACACACTCCAAAAAACTATGACATTTCTTTGGAAACTAATGTAACCATATGCTTATTTTCATACTCAGTTTGGCGTGAATACTGTCAAGTTACTGTAAGATAACCTCACACTTTCTGAAGCAGTGATATATATACATGCATATGTGTGTATATATATGTATATATGTGTGTATATATGTAAGTGTATATATATATATATACTTATACTATATATACTTAGTATATATAGTATATATATAGTATATATACTATATATATACTATATATAGTATATATACTATATACTTGCACTATATATATGTTATTCAAACCCTACATATTGTTTCTTGGTTTGTATTTTCAGTTTGTATTTGTGAAATTCAGTTGTAGCTCTTTTTTGCAATCCTTTTAGGAATAAAAGTTAATTTAGGACTTTTTCATAGCAATCTACTACTAGTCTCTAAAGAAAGTATGTGGCAGTGTGTATGTTTCATTTTAGATCAGTTTGCTTCACTGTGGGATAGAGAATTTAATTTTCTCTTTTTTATAACTCCTGGGGCCATTTTTTGATTGTTTTCTCGTTAAGATGTTACTTGGTTGGAAACTGGGCATATGTTAGAAAAATAAAGTTGCTTTGCAACTAAAGTGCTATTTATGCAAAGATAGAAGAGCTGGAGAAGAGCTAGAGCGGGGACACCACCCGGCAGACCGGCATCTTCCAGTTGCTCTCCTGGTCCTGTTTGATATGACCCTGCTCCTTGTCTTCCCATACTCCTTGCAGAGAGGAAGAAACAAGTCCCAACATCACCATTTTATCTTGATGTTTTGGCAAAATGAAAAGTAGCTCTTCCTCACCGAACTTTTGGGGGCTAGAGACTTAGCGTGGTAGATCTTTCTGTCTGTCAGGAATGGATCTGGTGGTGGGATTCATGATGAGGAATTGGGACTCAGTGGAAATCTGAGAGTCAAAACCCATGTCTTACTTTGGTCTTGTTTTAGGTCTGTTTCATAAGAATTCCTATTCCATTATGTTCTGCTCTGGTTCTGTAGGGGCAGTGCCAAGACCTAAGAAAGAGAAAACAGCTGGAGTTGCAGATACTTTCTGAACCTATTCAGGCATGGGAAGGGGAGGATATCAAAACCTTGGGAAATGTGATTTTTATGTCACAAGTAATGGTGCAGTATGGAACATGTGAGGTAAGATGTTTTGAATTTTGATATCATTTCTTCCATCTTTCGTGTTCTCCTTCGTTTATTTGTTCTTGCATCAAGGTCAAATGCTCGAATGTTCAAAGAAACTGAGCACCTACTCTTTGCCCAACACTGCTGGGTGCTGTGGGAGATAGGAGGAAAGAACACACAGTGATCCCTGCCTTCAAAGAATTCCTTAAAAACAGATCAAAATACAAGCTGAGAGTAGAAAACAAACCAAAATAGTCAGTGCCAGGTTGTGCAGTGTCACAATAGATTCCATAGACATTCAGAGATGGGAGAGAGTAAGAAGACGACTTTATGAAACTAGGGCTTGAGGAGGAAGGCCATGAAGAGAAAAGGGGAGGATTTCATAAGGTAGAGATCCTTCTTATCTCAGGAGAGAACGGGAACATGGCCTTTTTTTCTGCAGGACAGTGAGAAAGCCAGCCTGTTAGGATCAGCAGAAGCGTGTTGGGCAGAGTGAAAGAGAAGACTGAGTCAGACAGAGTTAGGTTGTAGAGAACCTTGGGTGTCAGGCAAGAGTAGTTCAGATTGACGCAGCAGGCAGAAGGAAACTATTAGAGTCCTGAGTAGTAGGGAAACACAATGAAAGGCGTATTTATGATACTCAGTCTGAAAACCATATATGTCAGGTAAACTGGAGGAGTGGGGCTAGGAACAGAACAACCAGCTGGGTTGGAAAGTGAGAAGCACCCTGGACGAAGGTGGTGGCGGAGAGAATGAAACTTAAGGGGCAAATCTGAGACACGTTTAGAAGGGAAAATCTATAGGAAGTGGTGACCCATGGGCTAGAGGAGATGACGAATGTCGTTCTAGACCTGTTAACTTTCAAGTGACTGCAGGTATTTAGGTGGAGATGTCTTGTAGGCAGCTGTTAAAACAGATAGAAATATTGATAGGAGGTCAGAGTCAGAGACAGAGGTTTAGATGTCCCTGACAGATGTGCCTTCCTAGGAAGGAAATATCCAGAAAGAAGCACAGAGGACTGAAGATGAATTATGTCTTTTAGGAAGGGGGAAGGGGAGGGGAGGAAGGTTGATTACGTCACCTGGTATGATTTATTAGGTGTTAGAATTATCTTCCGCCTCCCAAAACATCTTCCTATACTCCCTGTCAGGTCTCTGTCAGAGATTCATTGCTTTGGGTTAATAAGCAATCTTATTAAAAATGCAGATACCCTGGGGAAGGTTAATGCAGTGAGTCTGACCATTAGTTTCTCACACCTTTGGGATAAACCTCTTGGGTGAAGGGAGAAGAAACCAGTGCCAGAAAGAGAAGACAAAGAGGAAGGCAGAGGAGCACTGAGGGAATGTGGTGTCATGGAAATTCTAGAAGGAGCATTTGAAAGTGGTCAGCCTGCTGAGTGCTGCAGAAGGTTCAGAGGTCAAGGAGTATGGAGACCAAGGAGAAGCCACTGGATTTTGCTAGAAGGCAGTTATTGATGACTTTGAGAGAGCAGTGGGGGTGCAGTTAGGGATGGATCAATGGGGAGAAAATGAAGGCAGCAAGTAATTTGGCAATAAAATGACAAGAAACAGGGTATTATTTACAAGGAGCCACAGGGGCAAGTGACAGCCTATTAGGACAGGAGATGCGTATATGATAAAGGCCAAAGAGAAAATTCTAGTTAAACAAGAGAGGCTCCTGGAAGGAGGAGGAGGAGATGAGATGTCTGTAGAAAGAAACCAAGCAAGAGCAAGCTGTGAAAGGATGCAAAGCCCTTGTTAGAAGAGTTAGCCTTGAAAGTTTGAAGAAAGGAGAGGGAGACAGGCATAGGATAACTGGAGCTAAGGTTGGGCATGTAAGCTGAATGTAGGTTTTTGCATCTACTGACTGCATATCTGTTTAAAGAGTTCAGAGAAGCCCTCATGTATAAAATTTCTTCTAGTGCCATTTTGAAGCATATTTACTTGTTTGTTTTACATGAGTGCGATAATTATTGTGTTTTTACTGATCAATAATAATTTTATGAATAAGAACTTAACATACATGTTAGAGCATAATAAATTTCCTATCACCTGAAAACCCCTTCGTTTTGCCACTTTTCGAAGTCAAGTCATTTTCCTTTGGTAAGCCTAGAGGCTTATTTTGTGCTCTGGCTGCAGCTTGGGCAGGAAGGCGTTTGCTGTGTGACTTCTTAGGCTTACATACTTAGGAAACAAGCATGGTTATTCGTGTTTAACCGTTACGTATAGGAAGGAGAGAGAGAGACTATGGGTTTATATCCATTTCAAAGTAAAATTCAATGAGTTTTGTGCTTTTAAGTTGGGTGTCCTTTTAAAAAAAATCACTGTTCTCATTTCATTCCTTTATATAAGATCTATGTTACAAAACGGTGATTCCGGGAATTCTTAACAAACAAAACGTGCAATTTCTATTCTCCATTGAATATTTTTCATCCTGCTTCAGGAAAAAGAGGAGCGGTACTTCCTGTTATTTTCCACCGTCTTGATAATGTTATCTGCAAGTCCTCGGATGAGCGGCTTTATCTATCAGGTTAGTAGATTTCATACAAAACAAACAGCAGGACCCCTAATGAAAACACGTTTCCTTCCAGATGCAATATTGCCACTATGGCATTAAAAGCTCCATCCGGAAAAGGCAGAATGTTCTGACCCTTCATTGTAATTAAACAGCTTATAAGATCAAAGACCTTTGTGTTGCTATGAGTTTAGCCTGAATGTCCAGTGCTCTGGTTATAAACTAGGTTGTGAATGTATAAATAGAAAGCTAAGTCTGCACCTAGATACATTAGCAGCAGCATTTTTTTAGGCCCGTATCATATCATCATTGCTGAGAAAATATAAAGCTGGGACCTGCTCCTATGATTGTCTTATTACTGTCACATCGCATGGTTCAGGTTTCTAGACGCAAGTCGTCAAACTCCTTAGGACATTAAACTTCCTTCAGTCTGCTCCCAAAATATGGAGCATTCCAAGTGTTATAAGTTACTCTTGCCAGATTGTATCTTGGCCGAGCAATTACTAATTCTCATAAAATTCCAGTCTTTGCTTTGTTTATTGATTCTCCTGAAAACGTGTTAGAAAAAGTAAACTTTATAAATCCTGACCTTCTGGTTTAGGATGTGTTAGGAAAACACAACCCACGTTTTTCCTTGCTTTCTTGTCTGATTAAAATTTAAAGCAGGCAAACATAGCATCTATTGACAAGCCAGAGCAATATGTCAGCCGTAACTCAGCAGGGACTCCTGAGAGGGTCAGAAAATCTAATAGAAATAAGCAGAGACACGTATAACCACAGACTTAATGGGAATGTTCTTTTTCTGGTAGGGAAAAATACCAATAGCAGGAATGATGGTGACTAGATTAGATGAAATTGAAGGGAATGACTGCACATTTGAAATCACAGGTAGGTAATTTTCTCTTTTTCATGTAGCTACTTCAAATCCTTTTTGGAATGAAGTGGGGTTTAAATAAATAAATGCTATTATTTTCTGTTATATAGTCCATGAGCAAGTCTTACATGGGCATGGCAAAGTATATTCCATTTCCTGGCATAATTAGGGTATAGCGATAGAACAGAGAAGTCTCCTGGTCATTCGAAAGCCTCGGCTTTGCCATTAGTTTCAATCTTCTCTTGCATAAGAGCTACTTGTTAGAGCTAAGAAATAACAAAATGGACTGATATAAAGGTAATTTTTTCTCCCCTCTGTCGTCTATCCCCTGGTGACAGCGGAGCCAAGGGTATGGACTTTTATCGGCAATTTGATCATCAGCCTGTGAATTAGCAAGATTTGGTTGTGTTTCTAAAAAGTGCTGGAAAGCCATGGAAGTTTCTTCACAAGTTGAGCAAATTGCCAGGCCTTGATAATGCTCCTTGACATTTGGGCCTGTTGTCCCCTTTGCTGGGCCTGTGTGATTTACATGTAATGGTGGCATTTCTCGCACTGACACAGCATAATGACTAACACTGGGATCACGGCCCCCGGCCTTACCTCCTCTCTCCCAATAGGGAACCCAAGATTTGGTGTTGGCCTAAAGACTAATCAATCTTGGTTGGATCTTGTGCCAACTTTGATATTGGGTGAAACAGTACAATATTCTCATTTTAGGCTATGAACTACATGGACTCTGTGCTAAAATTTTTGGATTGTAAGTTTGTTTAGAGTGAAGTTTCATGCTACTTCTAAGATTCTGTAAGCAGTAGAAATCAAGGGCAGTTTTATAAATAAGACGAATATTTATTTCTTTACTTTATTATCACAGCTTATCTGTTCCTGATATAGAAGTTTCAACAGGGTTACCCCATAGGTATGAAAACTCCTGAAAACCAGGACACTCAAGTCCTAGTTACATGAAGTATGTCTATGAATGAGGCAAGCTCAAGGTTCTCCCTGCCTTTTGTTTTCAAATTCCATAATCGGGTGATGCAGGTAACATAATAGAGAGAATTGTGGTCCACTGCAACAACAACCAGGACTTCCAGGAATGGCTGGAGCAGCTGTACAAACTGATCAGGGGACCTGCCTCTTGCGGTTCATTATCCAAAACCTCATCGTCATCTTGTAGTGCTCATTCCGTAAGTAGCCCCTTTGTTCTGTCCCAGGCTTATTGAGTCTCTTGTCAAATCCTGCCTGCTGAACACTTAAGAGAAGCAGTGAGCATGTCTGTAGTCTTGGGGTAGTCTATATTTGCAGGTTTTGAAGTACAGTTGAACCTCACTAATTCTGATTTCTTTTTGTGGAGGGAGGCCCATCGAAATTAATCAGAAGTTTTACCTAGAGGTGTGCAGTTGTGTTTGACAGTATTAGGGTACTCCAGCTAACTGCTAGCAAAGTGTTTCTAACCGGAAGTCCTGCTAAGATGTTTTAATGACAAACAAGATTTATTTTAATTAGCAACTGTTATTCTCATATTAATAGCATGCTAAGCCGAAGCAAACAGTCTACCTTCATAAGTACTTAAACATCTCCATGTAATCTCATTTATGCTATCACATTCATTCAGTAACCTTCACGGGGTAAACTTTCAGCATTGCCTTCTTCCAGAAGTTATCACAAATTTAGGATTCATGGAATTTGAGTTGATGAGATTTTACTGTACTTGCTGAATGAGGTGGAAGAGATGCTTTGTTGTCTGTTGACACTCAAATCTGTGATGCCAGAATTCCAGTTTTGAGTACTGTGTGTTGTGGTGGGAAGAACATGGGCTTTGGCATCAGATCTGGGTTCAAATCTTGGCTTTGCCAATTGCTAGCTAGTTACTTCACTTTGCTGAGTCTATGTCCGAGGTTGTTCTGATGAAATAACCTATTTAAGCCCCTAATTGAGCGCCCAACACATGACTGAACTCATTAAATGTTACCCGTTACTCCACTTTCCTCCCTTGTAGAGGGAAAAAAAGCTGACTTTAATAAAATTCCAGAAGAGAGAGGGAGGACAGAATCATGGGATGTGGAGTCAGTTTTGTGCTGTTCCTTAGAGACCCCATAATCTTGACTGGAAAGTGCCAGTTCTCAAACTGGAGACTTTTGTTTTCCCATCTTTCCCTTTCTGTGGCTGGCTTTACTGATCCAATGAAGCCATTGTTCTTTCACTGTGTGGCACACGGTCGGGTTCAGATGGCAGATTGCCAGCATCTCATCAGACGTTTTCCCAGTCTTTTAGCTCTACTGGACAGCCCCGAGGACCCTTGGAGCCTCCTCAAATTATAAAACCGTGGAGTTTAAGTTGTCTACGACCTGCACCTCCACTTAGACCATCAGCAGCGCTAGGTTATAAAGAGGTAATTTTGCTACATATGGTATAAAATGCTCCTGACAAGCTAATTTCGTAGCTTATTACAAATAGTTCTGTGGGAATGTGCTAGAATTTATGATAGGTGATACATGTCAGCCAATCTTAAATTGCTAGATTCAGTGATTTATCTATTTCTGAATTTTCCATTTCCCCATTGTTCATCTACAAATATTTATTGATTATCCACAGGGTTTATGTGCACTGCCTGGGTTGCCCCGGTCTCCTCCTGAAGTGCCTCTGATTTAACTCTATGATGATAATTCTAGAAATTGGTAATGATGTACACACATCTGACACAAGAGCCACTTCATTAGAGTCAAATTTCCAACCAAGCAGACCCAATTCTGTATTTTGGATCATTCTAATCTCTTAAATCAAATCAGTTAAAGTCTTATGAGACCAACCCATGAGTCTGAACTATGAAAGTCTGAACTATTTGCTGCAATTGGGAAGGGAAAAGAATTTAATGAAAGGAATGTCTTTTAAAAAGAGGCTTCTAAGCGACAACCTTAGAGGACATTTGATATTTGGGTAGTGTGGGGATTTCAAGGTTTTTTTTTTCTCTCGAAGTTGCAGTCAGGAAATGTCAGTCACTAGCTTGCGTAACTGTGTGGAGTGTTACCTTTTCCATCCAAACAGTGGCTTTTTTCCCTAGCCTGTTTTTCATCGTTTCAGCTTTCCGAAAAGATCCTCATTTATTAGTAACTGTTCTTTAAATAGGCCTTACTGAGTGAAGATTTAAGTTTGTGACAGTTATGAGATGCATCTTAGAATTATGGTGCAAAGGTGATATATTTCTATATCAAATGTGTGTTTTGATGAGTGACACAGACTTTGCTCCATTTCGAGTTTGTTTTGATTTCAAACACCATGCTACTGTCTGGGTTAATTGTTGCCTCCAACTCTTAGTGCGGTAAAGACAGAATGATATTTGGACACTGGAGGACTTTTTGGTCCTTTCAACCCGACATGATAGGAGAAATAATCCTTGAGCTGAATCTTTTTTATGTACTTCTATTCAGAATTTGGCCAGGAAACAATCCCACAGCTTTGCTTTGGAAATTGACCTGTGACACCTGCAATCATCCAATTTTCTTCTTTGGTTACCTAAACCAAGAGTGCCACTTCAGAGTTATCTAGGTCCCCTTTTTAATGATGGATATTTTGTAATTGTCAGTTACTAAGTTCAAATTAAGGTGAGCTTGGAAGGGTAAAGTTGACTTAATCCTTCACAGAACTAATCCATTAAAACTAAGGCATGATCACTTTGTTTCTGCTGGGAGAAGAGAGTCATTAATATATTCTTACTATGTAATGTGTATTTCAGTTATTTTCAGCATTCATTATTCTGCACAGAACTGTATTCCTTGGGCTTTTGCATGACGATATTGCATCTGAAACTAATGTGGGAAACATGATGGTATTCTCTCTGTGTGATTTATGATAACACTAACATTTCAAATGTTGTTTTAGAATTATTGATAAATGGATTTGGTCATTATAACCATCGATCTCTCACGCTCATCTTCTCTTTCTTTACATATTCACTTTAGAGGATGTCTTATATCTTAAAGGTAAGGGTAGCACAATATCTTTGGCTTACAGTGACATCATATTGCTGTGCTGTAACCTTTGATGAATGAAGCTTTCTTTTATGCTTGTTTTGTCCCTTGTTATAATTGGTGGCTAAAATATGAAGATGAAATTCTGACATGTAAGTACTTTCTTCAGAAAGCAGGCTCTTGTGAAATACATATGAAAATGTCATCTTATAATGCCTTAAAAATGCCTGTTTTCCTGTTAAATGCTATTTTTTCCTGTTATTTTTGTCGTGTGAGTTTTTCATGTCTGTCTGTTTTCGAGTGTAAGTGGATCGTTGTGGCTAAGTGGAAGACATTAAGTTCTTTGTATCTTATATTTTTAAAGTACTAATTATTATTCGTGCATTGTATGTGTACATTGCATGGGAGATCGGGATAAGATGATCACTTGGTTTGTTGCCTAAGATTCTCATCTGTTTACTTGGATGCTGATAATGAGCACTTTTTTAGACCTGCTGGTTATTCATATGGCAAAACAAAATTCAGTAATTCTTATCTCTTTTATCTAATAATTAAAAATTTGGCTTTATATATGTAGATTTAAGCTTGGCAGTAGGTAACTTACTCCTAACCCGAAATTGTTTATCAGGAAATCCTTCATTTGGCTCTTCTCTATGACTGCCGGGAAATTACTCAGTCTCTTCTGCCTTAATTTTCCCGTCTGACAAATGGAAATTAATATTCTTCTTTGTGGGACTGTTGCTAAGGAAAATTTATTTAACTAGTTTTGAAGCTCTTTGAGAAGTGATATATACTACACTGGTAGTTACAATTGTTATTTAATTCCCTTAAAACTGTATCAGTGGGGAATATAAACCAAATTAGGAATACTGTTATTTCTCTAGGATTGACGTCTATTACTTTCTCTGCCGCATCTTCAGTAGGCACACTCCATTCTTATTCCCATCCCTATGGCAATTGAGAGGATAATGCCATTGCCTCTGTTTTATTTAACCTTTTAGAATTTATTGGAGCCATTTTTATTGTGTATAGTATTAAATTTTGATGCACTCCTAGCTGAGACTGTCAAAATAAGACAGCCATTCTATTTAATTTCATTTGCTCTTTTTAATTTGTTTTTTTTGGGGGGAGAATTTTAATTCACAAGGAAACCTCTATCCTTACAGGAGTCTAGTAAAAGCCCCAAAACGATGAAGAAGTTTCTTCATAAAAGAAAGACTGAAAGAAAGCCATCAGAGGAGGAATATGTGATTCGGAAAAGTATGTGTTTTGTACTTTTTGAAAGTTGGTTATGGATGAACTAACAGAAGAATTTTTTGAAAGCAGATGTTTAAAGCAATTTGTTTTCAGTATCATCTATTACATAAAGGAAAATGTGTGGAAAGGTTTGATCACCTTTAAGATTTTTGAATAATCTGCTGCACTTTGTCATCTTAGGCAAACGCCATCTGTATGGTTTTCATGTTGAATATTTTGCACATCTGGTTTAGAACCACTAAAGGGACCCATTTGCTATGGCTACATTTTTTCCCCTCTTTGTTTCTGATGCCTGAGATACTTTCCTCTATTGAGATAGACTAAATAGACCCAAAGGCTGAAATCCATCTGGAAGTTTAATGCTCACTGATGTTCTCAGTTAGACAAAGAATCAGCCTGCTGACATGTAGAAACACGGCTTGATGTAGAGATGGGCTGCAAAGTTGGTCAGCCAATTGATATGTACATATTTGCCTCTACGGCTGGGAAAAAGGTACTTTGGGACACATGTGAAGGCGTAAGCGATGTATCACAGGGGAGTGACAGAACTGTGTGTATCAGTCAAAAATATAGTTTGGATAAATCTTTGCTTGACTCTAGCTTCTGCATCCCCCAACCCCCCACCCCCTGCCTGGGTGTGCACATCAGCATGTTAACAGAGTTCTGCCACTCAGTCATTTCAAGAATGAGTTGGAGGGGGAGCAGGAAGGAGGGAGAATCAGTGACTATGCTGGCTGGTTGGAAAAATGGGTGGGGTTAATGGGGGAAGCTTCCTAGAGAAGGTGAGCCTTGAAATTTGAAGGAGAGGAAGGATGTGGTATATCGGATGAGAACTGAGGCTAGCACCAAGCCCGGTGCTGTAATTGTGGCCTCTTAGAGATGACTGACAAGACTCTCCAATTTAGAGCTCTTGGTGGGCTTCAGAAGTAGGCCACTGTTGGTTCTGAACTCACTGATGCTGACCCCAGAGCTCCCTAGGGAGACTGTCACTCTTGCTCCATTATGAGGGTTGGACGGCTTTTTCTCCTGCCTTTCAGCATCACCACCAGCCAGAAAAGCCAGTCCCCAGCAACAGAGTGCAGTGCATCATTTTGAGGGTCTAGAGGCATATATCTCTATAAAAAGTCGTTATTGATTACATTTGACAGGTACGGCTGCTCTGGAAGAAGATGCTCAGATTCTTAAAGTGATTGAAGCCTACTGTACCAGCGCAAATTTTCAACAAGGCCATGGCTCAAGTAGGTTCCCCCAAATCACTTTCTCTAATGAATGATGTTTCTTTCTTACTGCTCACGGCCTCTTCGAAAAAGAGAAAAGCAGCCAGCCAGATGGGTTGCAGGGCGTGTAAAGCAGGTGACAGTGCAGAGGAGCGGCGCAGGACTGCATCTTTCAGATAAGGTGGTTTTAGCTACCAAGCGGTTTGTTTACCCACTATTTCTTTTCACCCAGAGAGAAAGAGACATGCAAGAGTAAAAAAGTTGGAGGTGATAGAGATGAAAAAAAATTTTTTTTAAAGTCATTCTCCTTTGAAGTACACAGATACCTTCACCAACACTAGTTAGGAATTGAAGAGCCCAGAGAGTTCCTGTGTCTGTGAACTGATGCTAATCTCTTCTTATAGGCAGATTTGGAAAGGAAGTCAAAATACTATCTTTGATCAGCTGCATATTTAAGCAAACAATGCTCACCAAACTCAAGTTTCAAAGTTGCTCTGAAAATCTGGAAATGTAGCTGCTTAGCAGGGGCTGTTCGGAATGTATCCAGTTTATCAGGGAGCTATTGGCTGAGGGTATTTCCCTGAACAACTTTCAGGCTACAAACTGAAAGCGAGATAATGTTTTCTGATTCATCCCTGTGCTTTTTCAAAAGCCGGGTCACATCGGCTGTGTCTTCTTGTCTTCCATTATTACAGACATTCAGGATACCCCATGTGAGGTGTTTGCGTCTGCATAAGAAATGAGTTCTCCATGATGCTCCATTTTGGACAGCCACTGACCAATCACGAGTGTGGGAGGGGCCGTCTTGGTGGCCTGCCTCGACATGTGCTTTCAAAGTAACATGTCTTTAAGGCTGTCATGAGGAAAACGTTCCATGTGAAAGTTGACACATTTGACTGTGAAGAGGGGACTGTCATACCCTCTGCTTCACAGACAAATCCTGGCTGTGGCTTTGGGCCTGCCTAGCTCTGATAACAAGTTTCAAGGAGCCAGGAAAGGAAAGTAAGAGCGGTTTTTATCGTGAAAACTAGGAAAGAGAGGGGGACAAGGAGACACCAGAAGAAGCATCCCTCATTCGCTATCTGACCTCCTCTTCTCCCCCCACCACACCTCTCTTCACGTTGATAGAGTCAGTAGATGTGCTCGGAGGTGGAGGCAGGTGTTCTGGTCTAAAGAGACACAGTTTCGCCCCTCCTCCCTAGCCTGCCTTTTACAAGTGGAAAGTGTCTAGCTCAATGCTTGGCGTGCAGCAAGCCTTTTAGCATCATGGTGACCTACCACCCTCTGTCCCTCTCCAGCCAGAAGTTCTGTTTCCCTAGAAGTGACCGCTGTTGTTTCTTGCTGCATTCAGTCAGTGGGTCAGTCAGTGTGCAGTTCAATTATTAAGCACCTATGAAATGCTAGGACCTGTGGAAGGTGGAGACACATCCACCTCAGAGAAGGGGAGGTGATCAACTGAAGGCAGTGAGCGTATACAACTTGAAGAAATTTGACTTAGAAGAGAGGAAACGGTGGCTCAGGGAGACTGAAGACGAAGGGCTCGAGCTCCAAGAGGAAGGATCCAGAAGTGAGGGGGAGGTTGAAGGTACAGGAGAGCTGGATGGTCAGGTCCCATGTCTGTCCTGTCACCTCTTCCGTCCCGGAGCCTGGAGACAGTCTGAGCAGAGAGCAGGGAGGACACCTGCGTCTTTGCTGCTGATGTGACCATCTCCCAGCCCTGGCTCTACCCCTGATCAGAATGGTTTTAACTGACCCTTCCTTACCCTATAGGACTGTAAACAGAAAAGATGGGAGTGAGTGATGCTTCTGAGGCCCTTTAAGCACGTTGTATCCCAGTGCAGTGCTACTCTCTACATGATTTTTATTGAAATTACGTATTACCATAGCATAGGATGTGGTGTGCTAGTCCCTGGAGATGTGTGGGGACAGCATGGTCACTGGTCAGCTCTTCGCTCTGGAGGAGGCGAAACAGGAAAGGATGGGGTCTTGCTGAGGACGGTTATCACAGTGGCCCTTTCACATTATTTTTCCAAATACAAAATACCGCCCCCCCCCCAAGATTGAATCAACGTATTGGGCCATTTCGAATTTCTCATGTCAGGAAGATTTCATCTGTAAATGTTGGGTGACTTCTCTGGGTGCAAAGTAGCAACTGCTATCAACAGAGACCCTTCGATAACAATGAATGGTCTTCACTAGTGACTGTCTCCTCTTGCAACCTTGTTTGTAGGTGCTCGCAAAGATTCAGTTCCGCAAGTCTTACTCCCCGAGGAAGAGAAACTCATCATCGAAGAAACCAGAAGCAACGGCCAGACCATCATCGAAGAAAAGTGAGCAGAGCAGGCTAAACCTTTCCTGATTTGCCTAGGGGCTGGAAAGAAGGTTCTGGTAGGGCAGTGTGGCTCTTGCAAAGCCCACACTGAAGGACAGTCCCTCCTCATCTGGGAATGTGGCCCTCTTTGCTGATCATGCAGTTGGGAGGCTTGGGAGGGCTGCCCCCCAGCAGAGGGAGCGGAGACGGAGAGACAGAGGGGGCAGAGCTCTCTGTGTGGTGGCTGCCCCTGGAGCCTACTGCCCAGTACAGTAGGTGCTTCAGGGTATGCAAGAATTTCCCTCTAGATGGGTTTAGGTGGCATTTGGGAAGGCCACAGCACCCTTTTCTCTGCCCAGAGGGGTGCTTCTGAGTCAGGCTTTGGGCTTTCACAAACTTGATCACATTTCAAATCCTACAGCTATCCAGTGAGATAAGCATTACTTTCACCACTTTCAGAGATGAGGAAACTGAGGTTTAGGGAAATTATGTCCCCGGTCTACCTTTGCACAGTAGGGAGGGTGAACCAATGGGGGAAAATCAGGTTAAATACCTTATGGCTCATAAAATAAACACAAAGTCGCCAAATAATTCATTTGTTTAAACTTGAGTCATTTCTAAAGTCAAGCCTAAATTTGCATAAGACAGCATATTTCAAAGTGCTTGGCATCATCGATGTATTTTTCCATCTGGTATATGAAGTGATACGGCAAAATGGTAAAGCACTTGGGCTCAACAGAACAGCCCTGGGTCAACGCCAAATTCTGCTACTTGTTAGCTGTGTGACCTAGGGAAAGTTCATTCACCTCTCTGTGCCTCTGTTTCCTCATCTGTAAAATGGGTGTGATAGTAATTCTTTCAGGGTTATTGTGAGGTTAAATGGAATAGTAGTATAAAGGCTGGCAACATGGAAATCACTCAATAAATCATCATAGTTATAATTATTAGAGCTCTATTAATCCCCACAACAACTTGGCGAGGTTTTCAGGGAATGTAGTGTCATACCCATTTTGTATGTGAAGAAAGTAAGACCGAGAGAGGGTGAGAAGGAAATTGGTGACCCAAGGTTAGAGGACTCATAAGTGGTAGCATCAGAACTGGAATCCAGATCGCCAAAGTCCCTGTCCAGGGAGAGAGCCAGAGAGAAAATAAGTGTTCCCTAACTCAGCCAGGGCGCTTTCTCCTCTTTTGGAATACATGGGATCTTCCTGAAATAACGCCCCTGACTTTGTGTCATGTAGGATCATGTAGGGTCACATAGGTGAGAAGGGCATCCTACAGATATTGTAGGATGGCAGGGCCTTGTGACACCTCTCATTATATGTTAGGTCATGTTCATTCCTGCCCCAAAGAGAAAAATCCAAGCTTATCATGAGCCCTAGTCTCTTGTTTTGTACTCATTCAAGCTGGGAAGCGCATGGCAAAGGAGGAGGGAAGAATAGAAAAGGTGCAATGACATGGCGTTTGAATGAGCGTGTGTGGTGGTGGTTGTTAACCCATAAAAGTGAGAAACACAAGGACCATTCATAGTGGTATCTCTCCTGATCAGCTAGAAGGTCCCCTACTTCTCAGGATCTGGATTTCTGTAAAGCTGCTTTTATTGTCAAGTGTCACTTAACAACGCTTCAATGCCAGCTATTAATGTCTCAACTTTATGTTTTAGGAGCCTTGTTGATACCGTTTATGCCTTGAAGGATGAGGTCAAGGAACTGAAACAGGTAATGAAATATAAAAGTCACTTTCACAGCTCATAACAGGACCACTCCCTCTTCCTTGCCACACACTGGTAAATGCTCTCAGAATGGTCCCAGAACAGGGCAGTAAGGTGGGGATTTTTATTTTCCTTGTGACGTCAAGGTAGACTTTACTGATTTTGCCATGTGGTCTTGAGTTTAATTTCCTGAGGCTTGCTTATATCCCCATTTAGCAGTTTACAATAGGGTCCCAGACTTAGTTACAACTTCCATGTTCCCATGTCACTGTGATACAGTGCTCCATGATGCACACTCTTCCTTGTGTTTGAGGATTGACTGTACCTGGTGACAGGGTAAAGGATGGATTGTAGGAGGAAGAGACTGGAAGACCACTTAGGAGGTTATTACAAAGGTCAGGGTGAGACGTGATGAAGTCCTGAACTGAGGTAGTGCCACTGAGGCTGCAGAGGAGGACAATGAATGTAAAGAAGGCACATCGCAGAGTTAGAGCCTATGGAAAATGGTGCCGTGATGCTGGGATTAAGAAAGAGCCAGGGATTGAAGATGAAGCTTCTTACCTGGGTGTCTAGTTTGATCTGGTGGTGCTCTTCATGGAGATCAGGAGCCACAGGAGGAAGGGAAATTTGCGATGATGGGGGAGATAGTTCACTTAGGACGGCGTGAGTTTGAGGTGCTTGTGACACATCTAGGTGGAGATAGCAAGTTGGCATTGGGGACAGTGGACCTAGTGCTCATGAGATGAGATGAGGTCAGTACCAGAGAGATTTGGGACATGCCCTAATAGATACTTGAATTGAAAGAGAAAAGACACTAAGTGAAAAGAGCGTTGAATTAGAAGAGGGCCAGGGCTAGAACCTTAGAGAATGCTTGTGTTTCAAGGAAGAAGAATGCAAAGGGTTGGTCAGAGAGAGGTAGGAGAGTCAAGAGGCTGCCCTGTCTTAGAAGCTGAGGGAGAGGAGTTGGAGGAAGGAAGGTGTAGTGAGTGGTGAAGGCTGCCAAGAGGATAAGCAGGAGTCCTGAGAAGGGGTCACTTTGGTAATCAACAAGTCTTTTCCCATCATAGGAGAATAAAAGAATGAAGCAATGCCTGGAAGAAGAATTGAAATCAAGAAGGGACCTAGAAAAGCTGGTCCGGAGGCTGTTGAAGCAAACTGATGAGTGTATTCGGTCTGAATCCAGTAGCAAGACCTCCATTCTTCCATAACCATCACTGTGCAGCTGGGCAGAGTGTGCCTTCAGGGCATCTTGAAATGTCCCACTGAGTGATTTGACTCAGTTTGCTCACTTCTTTGGTTTTTATTTTGTGTCTGAGTTAGTCTCTCTCTCTTTCTGTCTGTGTTTGCTTGAGTGTTTGTTGTTGTTTGGTTAGTGGTTGGTTGTTTATTTTTTTCAATAGGGGTAAAAGGAAGAGGTGGTGGTAGAAATCTCCCCAGAGTCTTTTCCTTTCAATAAGAAAAGGAAAGTTAGTACAGGCCAATGACTTAAATGGTCTTCAGCTGGCCTTCAGTTCATAGCGCCTCCTCAAAAGACTTTACCCTCGGGTTTCTTGTTAGGCTGGCTGCTATCCCAAAGCGGCTGGCCATAGCTTACTAAATGTGAACTTCACTTTTCCCCCCATGCTTTCCTGCACCTGGAAGCCCCTCAGTATCTAGTTTACTGAAGGCAAAGCTTCTTGAGCTATGACCCTAGTACAGTGAAAGACAAACACATTTGCCCAATGATCCAGCTGACATTCCCTGGACCAGCATGTACCACCCCTCAATACACACTTCTTTTTAATTACTGGCCTATGTTGTCTCTAAGACCAAGAAAACAGGAGTGCCCTTATTCCTTTTGTGTTAGTTTACATTTTAACTCTGTGGGGCAGAAGCTCTGGTCATCCATGCCAACACCAAATCCATTAGCAAATTGCACTGGACAATCCTCCCCTCAGCAACAAAGTTGACCATCTCTTCCCAGTGCGTGATAGGTTTTTTCCCTAGCCTTCTGCCTCTTATGTAAGGTTTATATTTCCCTAGTGCTTTTAGCCAACCCTACCAAGCAGTGTGTAAACTAGTATGTGTGTGCTTTGCTTACGTTTGAACAATATAGACTGAGCAGTTACTTTATCTACATTGCATATTCAAATTGTCACTTCTCATCCTTCAAAACAATCTGCGTTGAGGAGATATTGTGCCCTAGTAGACAGCTTTAATTCACCTTCTTGCTCTCCTATATATGCTGTGAGAAGCTGTAATATTCATCAGCCTCCTTGGGTAGGACTTCTAAGCATTATTTGCAGAAATGCTCTGCAGAAAAGGTCCAGTTCATATATCCAGAAAGAAAGGGCCCCTTTAGTAGCTGTGTGCTGGTTACGAGTGAAGCTGATTATTTGGAACTGGTTTACTCAAATTGCTCATTGAATCAAAGCATTGCCTTTGCAAGGATCTCAGAAATTAGAACTGTGATAAACCAAGCTTAGCAGAGGGTCACAGAATGGCAGCACACCCTTCTCGTGTGTGTCCAAATCTCACACACTGCCCAAATCTCGCATAGTTGAAAGTTAGCCTGAGGCTCTAGGACAGAGCAGTGCAAGCCCTCCCCTCTCTCTCCCAAAGACAAGGGAAATTTGGGCCTGGTGGGGAAGATCACTGCAAAGAGATATAAAGGGTCAATGGGTTGATCAAAGTTGTCTTCCAGATAGCCTTAATGGGTGCCTACAAATGTGGTTTTTGCAAATGTTGTCTAGAAACCAAACTTGAAGCTTGAAACCCCCAGCTTGCTAAGCCCTTTGTCTTTCTAGTCCTGGGGGTCTCGAGTTCCCATAGCTACACGGTACAGGGCTGTTGACTGCTCACTGCACAGCAGAAATCACACCATCCATAGGAAATGCACTATTCCTGCAGTTCAACATCAGCCAACCACACACAGCTGTCTTTGGAAGCTGAAGGGTGAAGAAGGTTTCTAGGAATGGCTGTTGTCCTGCTTTAAAGCACAGCAGTTTAGAAGTGCCATCCTTCGCCTAAGAATTAACACCACCACCACCACAGATCTTAGCGTCTGCCCTGTCTGTGGTTAGTCAATGGCTTGCAATAAATGTGCAAACTATATCCATAGGAAACATTTTTGTGATTACAAAATACTTTAGTTGATAGCATATAGGATTGCTTAAAATATTGAAAGGTCTTTATTTTAAAGTGTCGTGTACATAAGCATGTTTTTGGGACTTGGCCTTTCTGATGCGAGGCCCTCGGTACTCTGGATAATGAAGCTTGTGCAGAGTGGTGTCCGCACTCACACACTAAACAATAATATAAAGGAAATGAAGCCATGTTAACGTGAGAGCAGTGTCTCCATAGTTGTGTTGTTTACAGTACTCTATAAATGGGTTCCTGTTTGCCTGTAATTAAACTGCTGCCCTTAGAGGCCTTTCAGTTCCTCTTCTGTCATGTCCCTTCTTACACAAGCTCAGATTTTCTAACTTGTTTTTATTTTGAAGACTTTTAAAATGGACATTTTCAATAAATAAGAATAACAGTGCTTTATAAAATAAGTCCTGTGTTTCTTTCTTTCTTTCTTTCTTTTGCTAGCTGGTGTGCAGAAAGATTTCTCATGCTGTGTCAGCTTCCTCTCCCGCTCCCCTCATTAGCTGTCTACTCTCATCAGACCCCCTAGCCAGCTTCTACCTTTGTCACTCAGGGCAGATGATATTTGCTCCTTACTTTACAGGGATGATACCTGCCATGAGACAGAACCTTCCTCAGCTTCTCCACTGGTCCTAACCTATGAACTGTCTGTACCTCTTCTCACCATTTTCCTTCCAATATTAGAGAAAGAGATATCCATTTTCCTGTTCAAGCTTATTCCTTGATCTTTAGTCTTATCCCCATCCCTCTTTATATTTTGCAGGATTTTGTCTATCAGTGATATCCTATATTTTGGCCACAGTTGGAATGCTGTTGTGAGCAGTCAGGATGAAAATATTTGGCCCACCTTGAGATAGATGTGCTGGATATTATCTGTTACTACTCAGCATCCATTCCTCTCTCTTTTATGTTTCCCCACCAGAGGGCTAAAAAAATACGTATCCCAGACTCCCTTGCAGCTAGAGTTCAGGATACAATGTGAGTTCCGATACATTTTCAGTTCTGCCAATGAGATGCCTTTACACAGTGTTTGGAAGGCTTAAGTAAGGCAGAGGCTGTCTTCCCAAGGCGTGGTGGCTAGCAAGCAGTTCCAAGGTTATGTTTGTGGCTTTTGTACTCTACATTCCAGTGTGTCTACTCACAGTGTCGTGGATGAGAGACTGTAGTGGCAGCAGTGGTGGTATCAGCAGCAGCTTCCTAGACTAGATTTGGATCATAACCACAGTGCTCTGACCTTGAAGCCATTAGTCCAATGAAAGCCCCCTGACTTCCACTTATGTAGCCATCGATTTTCAAGGTACCTAAGGTTACCTTCTGCTTGAGACATCTTCAGCTGTTTATGTTTCCTACTCTGAAGCAATAAATATAACATTGCATCTCCTGTGTGCTAGGCCCTGTACTAAATGTTTTATGTGGTTAAGCTCATGTAACCCTCACAACAATCCTTTGAGGTATTTACTGTTGTTATCCCTGTCTTACAAATGAACAGAAGCAGAGATGTTGAACAATATGCCAGTATGTGTGGAGCTGGGATTAGAGAGCCTGGTCTGTCTGCCTCTCGGATCCATACTCTTTCTACTACATTTCCTCCTCTGCACTTGGCACCTGCTAAGTAGGCTTCTACCTCAGCCATCTGGTCTTGTGAAGTTGCTAATGAGCTCTTAATTGACAAACCCAGGGAACACTTCTCAATACTTATCTTGACCTCTTTGTGGTATTTGACCCTTACCTCCTTGAAAAATCTCTCCTTTCTTGACTTTCATGAACCCAACTTTCCTAGCATTCATTCAACCTTTCTGACCACCTCTCAATCTTCTTTCTTGGATCTTCCTTCTGTGCCTTTTCCCTGACCCTGTTCTTCGACACTCTTTTCCTCGTCTCTTCCTTTCTGTAGCCTCTTCCTGGACAACCTTGTCTTCTCCTATAACTTCATTTATCAAAAGGCAGATGACTCCTCCCATGTCCATATTTTTCTCCTGAGCTCCAGACCCATGGATGCAGACACCTTCTGGACACCTCAGGTTGGGTGTCCTACAGCACGTCAAATTCAACATGTTTGAAACTAGACTTCTCACTCCTATTCCCAAATCTGTTCTTCCAATGTTTCCCACCCTGGTGAACGGCACCCATGGCCACTTAGTTTCCCTGGCCAGAAAAATGGGTATTATCCTTCATTCCACTTTCTCCCTCAACCCTGCATAAGTCTAGTCTTCAAGGCTTACCATTTTTAATTCTGTCATATCCCCTGAATTCCTCTCCATCCTCATGACTGTTGCCTATTTTTGGCACTTGTCATCTCTCTCTTGGACTAATGCATCTCCTTGCCTCTTGTGTCATCTTCTCTAGTCTAGCCTCTTTGGTGTCAGTAGGATGATTATCTAAAAGAACCGACTATGCCATTCGTCTATTTAAACATTTAATCTCTTGCTTCGCCCTACCACACTCGGTAAAATTTCATCTCCCTGAATTTCTATTAAGTCCTGTAATATGCCATTTGCCCTGCCTAGAATCCCTTTTCCATCCCTGTCCATCAAGCAAATTCTTTCCTTTCCATTTAGAATAAGCTCAAGTATCTATGTAAACTTATGATTTCTAAAATGAATATACATATGTGTCTGTGCATGTGTATGTACATTTATATATATGTAGTATGTATGTTTGTATGTATTAGGATTCCCAGATAAAATACAAGATGCTCAGTTAAATTTGAGTTTCAAGTACACAGCAAATAATATTTTGGTATAGATCATGTCCCAAATATTGCATGGGATATGTTTGTACTAAGTTTTTCGAATGTTTACCTGAAATTCCAGTATAACTGGGTATCCTGAATTTTTATTTGCTAAGTCTGACAGCTTTAGTATATATGTATATATATAAATGCATACAATTCCTAGGAGCAATGACACCCTAATAGCAGTGAATGCAGCTAGTGCCCAGAACTTGGTTTCTAGACATTATATTCTGCACTGAAAGGAACCAGGGCTCCTTGGAGAAATGGCTGATTCTATGGCTGAGGCAGGGGAGGTACCAGATGAGCCTGGAACATCTTGTTGTGCCAAAAAGTAACAAAGTGCTGAAAAAAAAAAGATAGGGGCATGTTGCAAGGACACAGGTGCCAACTTGAAGAGGCTCCCGCTGGCCAAATAGGGGACAATTTGAGCACCAAAATAAGGACATTAATGAATTAGAAAACCCTGAAAAAGTAGAAATCTATGAGTCCATGCTGATTAATAAATAAGTGGAGAGAAAGGGAAGGCTCTTGTTTACAGACTGTGCTAAGTGTTGCCTGGTAAATGTGGAAGAAACACCAGAATTGGAAAATCATTATTTTGCAACCATCGTAGTAAAGACTGATTCAGGCAAAAATTATCATTGGATGTTAAATATAGGGGGAAATGATGATGATGACCTAGATACTTGCAAGGTCTTAAAGTGTTTCCCCCAAAACTGCTCGCAAGTTGCAAGGGGAAAATAGTAACTATGGAGTGGAGAAATTGGCCAACACCTTAACTGAGTGATCAAAATTCACTTCAACAATGAGAGGCAAATGGCCATCATGTGCCTCCAGGTGTGATATCCTGAGAAGGACACCACATCACTTATGTAGTTTTCCATCCAGGAAACATCAGAAAAACTCAAAGTAAGGACATTCTTTTTTTTAAAGGGGAGAGATTGTTACTACATTAGCCCAAAATGCCAAAGTCATTAAAGATGAAGAAAGGCTGTGGAAATGTTCCAGAGTAAAGGAGACTAAAAAGAGGCATGACAACTTAAGGCAATACCTGACCCTAGATTGGATCCTGTGCTGGAGGGGAAAAATGATATAAAGGAGATTATTGGATCACTTAACTGAATTGGAATGCAAATGGAAGATCAGGATCTATGTTAATTTTACTGAAGCTGATAACTGTACTGTGGTTATAAACAAGAATATCTTTATTCTTAGGAAGTACACACTGCTAAGTATTTAGGGGTGAGGGCCATGATGTACACAACTTATTCTCAATTAATTCAGAAAAAAGATATACCTGTTATTTGTACTATTCTTATTTTTGCAACTTTTCTGTAAGTTTGAAACAATTTTTAAATAAATTTTAAAAAGTCAACTCAAGCATTGCCTCCTCAGGGAATCCAGACATCAACAGCTCCTTTGCTCAGTCATCACATTGCACTGTGTTTGCTTGCGTCTTTTTCTTTCTTTTTCTTTTTTTTTTTTTTTAAAGATTTTATTTTTTCCTTTTTCTCCCCAAAGCCCCCCGGTACATAGTTGTGTATTCTTCGTTGTGGGTTCCTCTAGTTGTGGCATGTGGGACGCTGCCTCAGCGTGGTCTGACGAGCAGTGCCATGTCCGCGCCCAGGATTCGAACCGACGAAACACTGGGCCGCCTGCAGCGGAGCGCGCGAACGTAACCACTCGGCCACGGGGCCAGCCCTGCTTGCGTCTTTTTCTACACTAAATGTTAAGTACTCTAAAAGGAGAGATTGACTCCGTTCACCATGGAAATTCAGGGCCTGATACACGGTCAAGCCCATAGTACCTACTCAATTAATATTTGTTGAGTGAGCAAACGTTCCAAGTAGTTTGATACCTCTGCTATTTGTATGGGAAAATTGTGAAAACTTGCCTTGGTGCCAACAGCCGAAGCCAGCTGGGGTTCTAAGCATTCTGCAGCCTCAAAGGCTGCCGAGTCCAGTCTGTGACCAAGCCTCCTCACCACCTTTCTCATGACTCGCTCTGCAGGAGGCTGTGCAGCAAGCCACTCTGGGAAAGCAGGCCAGAGGGCAGTTGATCTCTGCCAAGTGAGCACAAAGCCTCTTTCTAGATTGGGCTTCAGCATGTGCTGTTTGGCCTGTACACCAAGACTTTTCCTCACACAAGGCCCTCTGTGAGCTGACTCCTCCTGCCTGCTCCCCTGAATACTTTATCCGTCTTCATACCTCAATGCTTTGCATGTTCTGCTCTTTCGCTCTGGGACTCCTTTCCTCCCAACATCTTTCAAGACTCAGTCTGTGCCACCTCTCCTAGAAAGTCTTTCCTGACACCCGCCTTCCTCAGACATCTACTTCCTCAGACAAGTGGAGTTTGTCTGAGGTGGTAAACGTTGACACACCTGTTATGGAAAAGACTGGAAGCTACTTGAGGGCAGGAACTGGATCATATTCATCTCATGCATAGCACAGAACCTGTAACCTCAGTCAGTGTTGGATGGGTGGATGGATGGATAAAAAGAAATCTTTAGCTTCCGTAACAAGAAATGTGAATCAAATCTAAAATGTATTAAAGGTTGCACATTGGACTTCAAACAGATTTACAATCAGAGAGGTACAGAAGATAGGAGTAGAGTTTGTGATAAAAAATTATTGGACTTTAAATGGGGTTACATTAGCAGGAAAAATATGAAAGACAACTCAGTGGAACTCCAGGAATGGGGAATGGAAAACAATTATATATTTAACTGGGTTCTTGAGAGTTGCTGAATTGCCTATTGTGTGGTATGGAAAGGGTAAGTTTGTGTGCTGACGTCCTTTAGATTGGGAATCAATGATCATAGGTTTTTTAAAAGAAAGCTTCCTAAATATCCTAAATACGGAATTGCTCAAACCTGAAAATTTGGCAACCTCAAGCCTCCAACAGTTAATTGTTTTTGACGATGAAACTATAAGAAAAAGTCCTTGTTACACACAGGTCTACTCTAATGTCAGATATATGTTCTCATCTTGCCCTTTTATTTCGCGTTGCTTTCACTTTGCTTCAAATTGGGTGTGGTCTTTGGTCTACTACATGAGCCAGGCCTTTCATGTGTGCCTGGGCTGCCAGGCATTCTCCTTGGTCTCAGAGGTTTCAACTATTTTAAGATGCCGTCCTGTCTACTTGCAGCACTGGGTGCAGCCTGGAGTGCTGGGGGCCATGTGGAGACCCCCCTTAGTGCTCTTTATGTGATGATCTGTTCCAGAGAGCAGGCTCTGCTGGGGACTGTCTGTGAATGAGCTCATCAAATCCTCATAAACCTTGCAGAGCAGGTATTTTTCTCATCCCTACTTTACAGACGAGGACTCTGAAGCCCAGAGGAGGTGAAATGATTTGCCTATGGTCATAAAATTGGGAAGATAGTGGAGCCTAGAATAAGACTACACCTGTCTGACTCCAGACTTAACCACTACACTACAATGAGTATTTCTGGTTTTGTGCCTTGCAATGGAGATGTGGTTCACAGAGAAAAGGAACATAATAAAAAATCATACTTAGGGGCCAGCCCTGTGGCCGAGTGGTTAAGTACAGGCTCTCTGCTTCGGTGGCCTGGGGTTTTGCCGGTTTGGATCCTGGGCACGGACCTAGCACCACTCATCAAGCCATGCTGAGGTGGTGTCCCACATAGTGCAACCAGAAGGACCTACAACTAGAATATACAACTATGTCCTGGGGGGCTTTGGGGAGAAGAAGAAGAAGGAAAAAAGAAGATTGGCAACAGATGTTAGCGCAGGTGCCAATCTTTAAAAAAAAAATCATACTTAGTTCCATGTTCCATATTTCTGTGTCTCCAAGTAGGCAGCTTCCAACACAGGGATATCAGGCCCTGTGGAAATAGTCAAATTCAACAGGAAATGAGTTATTGCCCTTTACCTGGGGCGCCCTGTGCTGACACCTTGCTGGGGCACACTGTTTGCATTGCATAGACATTTGCTTCCTATCAGGTAACAGAGACAGTAATGCTTTATACGTTGTTCATCTTCCCTTTACCTGAAAATAAAAATTACTGGCCATTTCAAGCACTCTTTCCCCCCTTAGATGGAATGCAGAAATGACGTGCTTATAAAAATAGAATTAAATGAGATAATTTATACTCAGAATCTTATAGGTAGATCAGAAATGTACTCAAGTTCTCTTCATTTATTGGAACAACTTTGAAAATGTCCAGGTGACGTTTGGAGCAAACATCATATACTCTTTTGCAAACTAGCATGAAATATATAATAAAAATATATTATCTATTTTTAGCTACAGTATAATTCTCAGTCATTTTCTACTCCCTGAGTACATTTTTATGATATAGATATTTTTGACATAATGGAGGTTTTTACAGTATTGCAAATTTTTTCTTCAACCAACACAGAGTTATTTCACGGACTACTCAGTTGTAAGCAGCCGCATTTATCTATTCCTTCATGCAATGAATATAGGGCCAATTCTATGCCAGGTCCTGTGGTAGACACTGAAGTTACTGTGGTGAACAGGACAAATTCTTGGTCCTCAAGATGCTCACAGCATAGTAGTAAAAACCTCAACCATGGTAAGGGCTGTGAAGCTAAAGTACAGGGTGCAGTGGGGGAGGGAATGGGTGTTACAAGAAGAGAAAACAGCATGCCCACCTGGGGCCTAAGACAGGAAAGCATTTGCAGGCTTGCTTAGAGGAGCTGAGGATTAGAACTAAAGACACTGAGAGAGGCATTGGTAGGAGATGAAATAAGTTAATTATTCTGGTCTTTAAGAGTGGTGAAATCAGACTTGTGTTTAAGAATTCACTCTGGCTGTGTATGGAGAATAGATGAGAGGGAACAAGAGTGGAGGCAGGGAGTCTAGGAGGCTATCGTAGTTTTCCAGAAGAGAGATGACCGTAGTTTGGACTGGGAGAGTGGCAGTAGAGATAGAAAGAAGTAGATTAATTTAAGAACTATCTAAGAAATAGGGTTGATGTGTATAGGCTGGTGGGATTGGGCATGGGAGTGAGGACGGTGAGAAGTCAGCCAAGTTTCTGGCTTGGGAAGCAGGGTAGATGAGGCTGCCATTCACTGGAAAGGGAAACACTGAAAGTGGATCCCACTATGTGGGGGAAAGGATCAAGTATTCCATTTGGATGCATTGGGTTTGAGGGCCCCAGGCCGACCATTTGGAGATGCAGGCAGTGGGGCCACAAACTCTAGGGAGCAGGTCAGGACTAAAGGCATGACATGAGTAGCATGAAGGTGGTTGTTAAACCCGTGAACCAAGGGAGACAGCCCACTGTGGGTATGTAGGACAGGAAGAGGAGAAGTTAAGGATAGGGTCTGGAATTCGTGGGGTGGGCAAGGTGACCTCATGAGGAAGCAGTCTGATGGCAGCTGGCCATGTGAGGCCGAAGCTTAAGGGAAAGTTCTGGGCTGGAGCTACAAGAGGTAGCATTTGGAGAGCAGTAGAAAGCATGGGAGCAGATGAGTTAGCATAGAAAATTGAGAGTTTTTGTATCTATAGCTTTCCTTCTGATCACAGATATTGTTAGCAACTTGGTTGCTAGAGGTAGAGGTAATCTGGAAGATAATGATTCCCAAAGAGGGAGAACAAGAAGGCGGGGTGAAGTGCAGGGGCAATGTTTAAGTCAGAGGATGTGAGTAAATAAAGACTATAATTGATTTGTCCAGGCTGGACATGGATTCCCTTCTTCTGAACCCTCCTGCCCATCACCAGCCCCACTGTCTCACCCAGGCAGTTGGGCACATATGGGTGTGCTACAGAGTGGGCACTCAGTTACCATGAGGGAGAGAGAGTCATGGCCTGTGTGTTGTCTTCTTCTCTCTGGACTGGTCCAAGCCCTCCCCTCAGCTAGACCTGGGGTCCCAGCCTTCCTAAGGGAGACCCATACCTGTGAGAAGATCATGACCAATGTCTCCTCGCTGCCACGCCGCACCCCCCTTCCTTCAAGTCTCCCACGCAGAGGGCTACACTGCAGAAGGATCTTCGCTCCGGAGGACAAGATAGCATTGTGGACATATCCCTAAGGGAATCCCTAAATCAACAAATGTCACCCCTGCCAAAATTCTCTCGTTGGAGAAACTGCACAGCCAAGCTAGTTTGCCTAGCATGATTTCAACCTTGTGTTAGAAATTCACGCTCCAAGTCCTTCAAAATCACTCAACCAAGAAGGGACTGTGCTGTGCACAGGCCTGAGGAGCAGGGGCAGTGGCCAGGAGCTGACCCTGCCTCTCCTCACTCCCCTCTTATTCCCACTCTTATTTCTTACTTCTATTTCTAGTCATATTTTTCTGCTTGAACGTATAGTGTGTCTTAAACAATGCACTCTACCAGTAAAGATGAAGAAGCCACTCTGGGTTTCTTACGTGTAAAAGCCCTCAATTGGAGGTGACAAGGAACCGCTCCACTGGCTTCAGTAGAAGACCAAGGGGCCAATACTTCCTCTCGGTTTGTCGCAGCTCCCTTTCCTGTTGCTAAGGTGGAACCACCTAGACAGCTATTAAAAAGATAAGCGACTGCTTCTCATTTAAGGCCTTCCCTCTAGCTTCACTTAGCTGTGATTAATCGAGAAAAAACCAGTCTCTTTTCAATTCCCTGCAACCTTTCCAGAACAAGCTGGAAATAAAGACCCAGATTGCTTTTCACTGAATAAGCTTCCATGTCATCCATCAACAGCTATCGCAGACTTTCAGGGAGTGTGCTGTTGCCAAGATATTTTGTGGTACAAAAAGCTGGAGAACCAAGTTTATGAAAACATCACAAAAGTTGGGAAAATTCCCTCCAAATGACTCCTCCTCCCCCAACCTGGCCTTGGGCTCTAGGTGCTAAATAACAACAATAACGTTAAGGGATCTTTATTATTCAAAAAATAAATAACAAGATAATCACAAGTTCATTCTGGAAACAATGGAGACTGCAGGTAGATACAATAGATTTCCTTTAAATACAGTCATTTCAGGAGGAGGAGGGGGCAGGCTCAGAGCTGCTCTCGTCTCCCCTCTCCCATCTACAGTGGTGGAGATAGGGATGGGGTTGAAATAAGATAACTGATTAGCAACAGCTTGACTCCTGTGTGTGTGTGTGTGTGTGTGTGTGTGTGTGTGTGTGTGTGTGTTTATGAGAAAGAGAGAGAGAATGAGTGTCAGGGTGGTTGGTGGGGGCAGGGTTTTCCTGTTCTCCACTGCATTAGACTTTCTAGAGCCTGCCCCCTCCATCGGGGCCACAGGGACCCAGAATCAACCATAACTGAATGTGAGCTGAGGCTCCCTGTTTCCCTTCCGCATCTTCACTGATAAATCAAATACATTATCCACTGAAAGACACTGTATGCAAAGAAACGAAACTGAACTTGGCTAATTATCTGCTGTTTACTCAGCATTCAATCTGTGCATAATGGCCTGTCTTTCCATAGGACTCTCGGGATGTCTGCATCAGTGGGGTTGCTGCCTCAGAATCTAAGCTCTTATGGAACAGGGCCTGTTTGGGTTTCACCCGCCCCGTGATTCACTTTTTGCAGCCCTATGTGCCTTGGGGTATATAATAAATAGTTCTCCGTGAGGAGGATCCTAGGGTTATAAATAGGCAGTTCAACAGGGGGTGGTCTTAACTGCTCTGCTGTATTATGAAGACTGCCAGCATCAGCTCAGCCGCAGCCTGCGAGGTTACACTGTTCAGAGTTTGAGTAAACCAAAAGATGTGAAGCCGGTCCCATGGCTCACTTGGCTTGGATCAGTCACGTTGACAAACACCGAAGCACCTGGTTGCAATTCAAATACTCCTCCCAAGTGAATGGATTGCTGCCCGCAAGGTTTGGAGGAACTGTGGGTATTTGCCGCTCTAAGTAAGATTCTCTCAGATCCACTCACGGACCTCAGGCAGAGGCTGGCTATAAATGGAGCTTGACCCGAAGCTTCCCGATTGGAACAGAAGGTGACTTGGGCATAGATATAATAGAGTCCTTGTCTTTTAACGGCCAGCTGTTTCCCATTTTCGAGGGTTACCAAGTTGTTGCTTATGGTGTAGTATCCTTTTTGGGCCCACTGTAGAACTGTAATGGAGAGGGGAAAAATTCATGGTGAGGTGAAGCATAGCATGGTTCACATTCTAATGGGAAATAAAGTTTAATGTTGGATACTGGCTTCATATACAAACGGAAGTTTTGGGCGTCAGGGATTCTTAAGGACCCTTCCAGCCCTCAGAGTCCGTGGAGGAGTTATGACTGACGAAGCAGCATAGCCTTTACAGTCAGATGGAGCTGGGTTCTAATCCAAGCTTTTTCAAGCTTGGGGAAGTCACTTAATCTCCCCGAGCTTCACTTCCTCGTCTGTAACACGGGGCTATGTTACAGCATATTTCAGAGACGTGTTATAAAGATTAAATAAAGTAACAGAACACAGTAAGTTTCCTTCTCTCTTTAGAGTTCAAAGTCCACTTGCCCTTGAACCTAAGAAAGTGTGAATAATTTCAAAATTCCACATCATAAATTATGCATGCCAGAATATTCAGACAAAATCCTTGCTAATATTAACATCGATATCTTGCTTTCCTTGAATTTTACAAAGTCAGAGAGTTCCTAGTCCACTAGCTGAGCCTCAGCACAGAGAAAAAGAAAGACCCCATTTCTTGCTACCTGATCATACTGTTGCAAATTCAACCTGCCTCCCACAGTAAGGACTAAAATTAGGCAAGGAAGTATGAAAATAAACCTGTCATTTCACTGTGCGTTTTGATCTCCCATTGTAGTGGGCGCCACCAACTTGAAAGTGCCTGTATTCTTGTGGCTAAACCCGAGTACCCACCAACAGTGTGCCATTTTCTCTGCTGAGATGTTGAGTGGGTTCAAAGTAGTATGTGCACCCGATTTCAAATCTCAGCTCCCACAGAGAGCTAGACTGCCGGGGGTGGGGGTTGGGGGAGAAGTGAAAGTATTGATGCGTTTGCTTCCTTGAACTTTTTTTTTTTAATATCTGTTTGGTGGTCTTAGGCCTATCAGAGTTTAAGATCTAACCTGTTAAAACTCATCCTTTTGTAGTGGGAAGTCATCTTGAAATGCCTGACATTTCTTGGCCCTCCAGACCACTCCAGAAATGATACTTTATGGTGTTTTCACTTTTGGACCATCCGATTGAGAAAACAAGGGCAGGGTCCTTATCTTTTAGTCCATGAAGTTTATTTTTGTAAGTCCTTGCCAATTTTCATCCTTGCTGTGGGATGTAGGTCAAGTTTGCAGCAGCATGACCAGGTAGGAATGAGGTTTGGGACTGGGGTGGGGGAAGAATGTTACTCTCTTCCCACCTGATCCCCTGAGAACCTACTGGGATGCAGACTGTAAAATATGCTAGGACCAATATCAATCATGAGCCTTTGGCAGAATCTGAGCACCATGAAATATCACTAAGAACAGAGATTTATATACAGGTGGACAAAGATTAGTGGGAAGCTATTCTTCCACGAGGTGTCTCTGCTGCTGTCATCCAATCTGGATGAGACGATGTCATGTAGATGGCCACCCTGGACATGCCAATGTAGTTGTGATGTTCTCCCATAAGCATATTTTCTGAGAAAGAGGTACTTGGCAGAAATATTAGATATTGGGAAATAACTGGTATTAATGAAAGGCTTTATGTCGCTTTTCTGATATCTAAACTAAAATGAAGTTAGCTCAGTAATGACGCCTTACATTTGTATAGCACTTGACAGTATAACTTTCTTCCACATTAGCTAATTTGGTGCTCAGAGTCGCCCTGTGAAGTCAGTGAGGCAGGAAATTGCTGCATAGGTAAAGGGACTTGCCCAAGGTCACCCAGCAAGTCATAGTGATGGTTCTTGAAACTCAGTGTTCAGAAACTTCCTATCCGGTGCTCTTACCACTGTACCATGATCCATGATAACCACGTATGTGTTACACCCGCTGAGAAGCCCAAGCCACCTGGAGATGAGGGGGTGTCTCCTCTCCTCTTTCTCTCTGTGTCTCTGTCTGTCTCTGTCTATCTCTCTCTCTCTCTCTCTCTCTCTCACACACACACACTGTTTAGAACTCTATTCTGGAGCACTGTGCTAAATGTTTCAAAGACTGCTCTGATGCTCTCAGACTGCATTTATGTAGATGGGGGATTTTATGCTAGCATACATGTTTCCATCCATTTATCAGATGCGACACATTCTCCAGCGCCAGCAATCACAAGGTACAGATTTGGGAAAAAAGATCTAAGGGCTAGAATGATGGCAGAACGTATATGGAAATAAAATCGCTCAGAGTTGAAAAGAGTACAGTATGTCATCTGCTGTTACTTCATTGGAAAATCTAACATCCTGGCACCTATTGATCTTTGCAGAATGATTTTACCTTTAATTTCCCTGAGATTGGCCCCGGTGAGGCTGGGGTTAATCATACAGGGATTGACAGATGGCAAGAAATACCCCCTGGGGCCCATTTACACACAGTGAAGAGGGGTTAGGATGAGGGATGCTCCCAGTCAAGAGGTCACTACCTGCCATCTCTTCTATGTTATCAGAATAATGGTCCCTCCACCCAGTAATTCATCATTTAGAATCAGCCATTGAGGAAGAACATAATGAGAACATTGGGATTGCTTCCCACCTCCTTTTGTCTCTCTAAGTCCCATCTCTGCATTTGAGCTCACTTTGAAGGCAAAGGAGAGCGTATGAGAGGTGTACGGGTAGGTTTGTAAATTGGGCCCCAGAAGAAGAGAGGAACCTAATCATTAAGCTACATTGCTTTAGCATGCCAGCCTTCCCCCTTGCGTGGTTGATGCTCAGATGCTTTTGGACTTACCAGATGCTGTTTTACTGCTGGCCTCACTTATGACATGTGCCGCAATTTGAGGCTCCTGATCGCCTGAAATGAAACCAAAAGCAAACTATCAGGCCAAAGTAATACAAAACTGCCACAGAACTGTATGGTCTAGTTCTATAGCTGTGTAACAGAGACTTTGCTTAAATAGGTTACGTAAAAAGAAGGATAAAGCGGTCTGAAATCCCTCTCACAGAGGGAAAAGTTGATTTCTAAATCTCAGCAATCGAATTGGCTATTTCTGCTGATCCCATTCTTCTAATAGTTGTTCAGTACTTGTCTCCACTTTCCGTAGATTGAAACAGGCTAAAAATACTGCTCTTCATTAAACATATTTTGAATCTTCCTTTTAGGAACAACTCCCACCTGTTGGGAATCTTAGTGGGCCCCAAGATCATGTATGCACACTTAGCTAGTAAGATGCTTATGGTGTCTGATATGGTCAAGCAACTGGCCAAACTATTATATCTATCTCTAGTTGTTTCTCATGTAAAAGGCTTGCTACTTAATTAGATGCTGATCTCCTAAGAGAAGAGATGGTGTGGAAATTTCTTTTTTTCCAGTAATAAGCCTGGTACTGGACACTTTGTAGTCGCCCTATAAAGTCAAGTTGCATGACCTAAATTACCAGTTTTGTTAAGTTTATCATTTTCCTGAAGACTACTAGGCAGCATCCACATGAACTATTTCCTCAAATTTCACTATAATTAACAGACAACATGGCCCCATTCAACGTATCTTACAGTCATTCTGAAGATAAAAGCTTTGTAGAAATCAGATGACCCTTTGCATCTGGACCAATAGTTAAAGTAAGCTCTAAGTACACTTCTTTGCCTCAGAAAACGCTATCTGTATCTCTGAATGCATATCTGTATGTATATATGTATTTCTTTGTGTGCATTAAATTTACACAAGTCATAGCATCACTTTCACTGACTTTGTGATATAATAGTTTTTCTAACAACACTCATCTACTAACATTCCATCTTTCCCATACTCAGCTGCTCAGGTCACTCCAGGCATTATTGCATTCAGTTTGGGGTGCCACATTCTAAGAGGAACAGGGAAAGTTACTGTGTCCAAAGAAGGAGGTAACTAGGAGAGGGAAGGGCCTGGAAAGAGTCATAGGAGGAACAGCGGAAGACAGTGGGGAGTTTTAGCCTGAAGAAGAAAAGGCTCAGGGGCCATGACTGCTGTTGTCAACTGGACAGCTGCTGTGTAGAAGACAACGTGTACTTTGTTTAGTATGGCCCCAAAGAGCAGAACTGGGTATGGTGAGTGGAGATTACAGGAACAAATTTCAACTCCAGAGGAGAAAAGACTTCTCTTGAGTAGTATAGTAACCTTATTATAATTATTAGAGCCATTCAAAGATGGACTGGGCTGCTTTATGAGATAGAAGGTGCCTAGGCATGTTTGATGACAGGCCAGATGCTCAGAACTGTTGTGAAGAAGATTCATGATCTGAGGATGGTGCTGGATTTGAAAACCATCAAGTTCCCTTCCAACTCTGATATGTTCAAGAAACTCTGACATCAAAAACAGAGCAAAGACTAGAACGTTGTCACACTGAATCACTCCTTGATCCTAGAGGCTCTACTGGCCATGGTTCCCCATGAAAAACTGTTATCATTGAGCAATGAGTGTCACTGCGGCCGAGTGATGACTTTCTTGTCATCTTAGCCTCTACTGGTGACACTAGGCTGTATGGTTGCTTTGATTAAGGTATTGAAAATAATAGGATTTCTTCATACTTGGTATTGTCAGCATTAAAGGAACACAGCCTTCCTCATAAATATATACATCCAAAGCCTTTCCAAATCACAGGCACCAGAGAAGGTGTTGATTTTGGCAATTGTGTTCCTGTTTTATTTCTAGGGCTAAGAGTTCCCAGATTCAACACTGGGTTGTTCAATATAATCAGCCTACAGCTTCCTTTTAGTTTTTAAGCATTCATAGAAATTGGTAAATAGCAACCTACCTTTTTGCATTTCAAAGTTTTCTCCTTTCTTCTTCACTTCTTCATTTAGCATTATATCCTAAAATAAGAGTCATTGCAAAAGGTCATTTTGACAGGAACTCTGCTGCAGGGTTTTAGAGGTATCATTCATTTGGCATCTGTCATTACTCTGGTGTCTGTTTCTGGTAAGGATTATCCTATGGACTTAGATCCTGTCATTAATTCCATCATACTGATTGGGAGCCCATGCCCCTGACAGGTGAGCTGACAGCCCAGAAAGCCCAGGGGTGAACCTGGAAGCAGAATGTGGGCCTTATTATTTCCATTCCGGTCCTCTCTTCAGACCAGAGGCTGTGATTCTGAGCCTTCCTATGACCCCAACCTCTCTGGCTTTGACGGGTATTGACCAATAATGCCCAACGGAGAGAGGATTCTACCCTGGGAACTGGTATACAGAATATTATTAAACATAAACCATGGCATGTCTATTAGAATAAAATTGGCCTGAAAATCTCTTAGGAAATGGTAACAGCAGGTTTGACCTCAGGGAGAAATCTCAGACTATGAATAGACCTTCGGACATTTTTTATTTTGTTGTCCCTTTCAATGGGCTGAGGAGAGTCTTGTTGCTGGTTGCCTTGTGTGGCCTGTATTTATTTAGCATAACCAGCATATAGGAAACAGGTAATCGTCCAATGCTGCTGATGTTCAAAGGCAAATGCAACACTTCTTAAGGGGTTTCTTCTCACCCAGCAACTGAAGAAAGTCTAGACGTACTTAAGGAAGCTAACAGGCACTGCCGTCAGCACAGCTGGATGTTGATAAAAGCTAAGGCTGCCGTGTTAAAGATACTGAATAAAAGGCCTGGAGGGCTTCACTGGCTGGCACAAGGTCACCCAAGGAGTCTGAGGCTAAAGCCAAGAGTAGAAACTGTGAGATCACATTCATAGGCCAGCCTCAACTGGCACCATCCCTCTGTATTCTGAACACAAGGGAGAAAGACAGTATTATTTTCATATCTTCTGATAGTCAAAGTCCTATGTGCCTTCCCATTACTGAAATCAATTTTCTCCAGGGTCTTTCCTTTTTGTTCCCCCCATAGAAGGAATTAGTGTTGTTACTATTGAGTGTCTTGTTGTAGGCTCAGCTCAGTTGCCAAATGTGAAGGTATAAGTCACAGAGCCAAAAGGGGAGCGTGCACCTCGGAACAGGCTCTGTGGCTCACATGGGCCACAGAGCTTCTTCAACTTTCCACTTGAGCTGAAGTGTGGCACTGTGAAAGTGCAGCAACAGGAAAATGTTTGTGAGATAACAAGTAAACAAATGAGTATTTAGTGTCTTTTGAAAAAATGGAGTGTGATGATCGAGGTTGAGATACTTTGAGGCTGAGTGGTTGCATTGGTGTCAGGGCTTGGCAAAGATGAAAACGTGAAGTCAGCAAAGTTTGTCTTTTATGCACCCAGCCTTGCTTTTCCGTGAACTTTCCCCCAGCCACACTCCCCAGAACCTCTTTTTTTTTCTTGCCTCACTCCCCACCTCAACTGAAAGACTTTTTAAAGTTGACTTTCAGAAAATCTGAGATTAGTTGTTTCACTCTTGGTGGGAACTCTATGTGGCAGGTACGGACAAGTTGATCTTTAACTTAAAAAGGAAGTGCTTTGACCCTATCAAAGATATCTCAGGCATTGGTGGGCAGACAGTCATGGAACTGATCATTCTAGCAGAGGGTGGGTAGTAACTTTTAATGTGAAATTACACTATTCAAAATGCTGCCTCCACTTACACTAACATAAGCCCTGAATCCCATCTTCCCCCTAAAGTGACTTCTTGGTACTATCTGCTTCAGGAGATAAGTTCCTTGTCACTAGAGGTGTTCAAACAGAGATTGGGCAACCAGTTGGTAAGGGCGGTGAAGAGAAGCCTGAAGTTCTGGGTTGACAGTTGGATCTGATGATTTCTAAGACCCCTTCAAGTCCTATGATTCAGAGCCCCAAAACTCAAACGTTAGGTTGCTCTGGACCAGTCGGACTATGACCCAGAAAGAAAGCCTGCTAACATTAGCTAAGAATACACAAATCCAATTTGGGGTCATTCTGTAGTTGGCCTGTTGGGTTAAACAAATCCAAAATATTGTTTTAGAATGAGAAGTTTGGGTGAATGAGTATTGGAAAAGGGGTCAGTCATTGGGGGAGGATTAGGTAGCTGGAGGACTTTGTGTCTAATCTTTGTGCATATCACATGTACAGATGACATTGACTAGGATTCCACCCCTGCTGCAATAAGAGGCAAGTGACCTCCTCTGTTGCATGTAAAGAGCCCTGGTTGACATGCCAGAGAAGGTCTGCCTTTTTAGAATATGAGTTTTTGGAGCTGTCACTTTTTCTTGCAAGCATAAGCAGAGAGGCCAAACCAACTGTTTCCCTTGCTTCTATCCTGGGTAGCTGATTTGGAAAGCTTTACATATCCAACCTGAAATAAAGCCATGAGGAATTGGCAGTTCAACTGTAAAACTCTCAGTAAGAAAGAGAGACGGAGGAACAAAGCAGTAGCCGCTCTCACTAGCACTGAGAGAATTGAGGGCTGATCACTTAATTACAGAATGTTGGAGCCGGTAGTGCCCTTATAGATAATCTCAGCCCTCTCAGTTTACAGATGAGAAAACTGAGGCCCAGTGAGGTGAAGTCATTTGCCCAAGGTCACACAGCCAAGCACATTAAATATTCTATTTGGATTATTAGCCTTCGTTCTGAAAGTCGCTTTATTCACATTTAAATTGGCGACACCTCCCAATACCCTGTAATACTGGCAAGAATCCTCAAAGAACCGGAGAAACTCAAATCATTTCCAAGCCTTGCAAATAAGGAATTAGGAGTCTTCATCTAAAACCTAGATTAGTGTAAAGAACATAAAAGCCAACAGAGATCTGAGCTGCATTCTGATGTCTGTAGGGGACTCAGGAATAAGCTCTTGGAGTCTTCACTACCGGATTAAATTACACACTGGGGATGGTATAGGAGGACAAGAATAAGCTCAGAAATAAGATCTTAAGCCCTTCACTCCTGGGTTAAATTACACATCACCTATATGTGAGAACTAATTCCTGGTGGTTTAGCCAGATACCCACCCGTCTGGCACAGGGCAGCCCTTAATGTGGAGTGCTGCCTCCTATTCATGACCCCAAATGAGCTGAGGGCCAAGGGTGTTTGACTCAGTGTTCTGAGAGGGAAACAGGCCGAAAGACTTCTTGACGTTCTGCTTCAGGAGAAAGAGCCCCTAGACCCCTTGCCTATGATGATGGAATTAATGTTGTAGGCACATCCTCAGTAAACGTTCTAAAATTTCTTGTTTTAGGTACCCATTATAGGCCATAGTCACTGCAGTGACTTCATGCAGGGTATCAGGCTGTTGGGCTGGAAGGCTTCAAACGCTCTCTGCCTCAGGTCTTGATGGGCCCCAGAGTTGCCTGGCTTCATGAGCAAGTGGTATTACATGGGGTCTGGTTTGAGCGGCACTGAGAAGATCCATCACCCATTCCTGGTAGCTCTCTTCACAATAAAGGGACAAGATCTCCCTTTCATGGCACCTGAGATTCTATAATCAGAGAAGCATTTCTTCATATGTTAGAGTGTCTCAGTCTCCAAAGTCCCTACTACTCCCAGTAAAGGCAGTATCTCAACCTGTGGCCTGCCAACACTGCAGCGACCAGAGGTTAGTGCTTCCCTGGGAGATGGGGACCAGACTATGGGTCCACAGTGAGAAGCCATCAAGGTTTGGATGGAAAGATAAGAAAATGCAAGAAGCAAACTTGATGTAATTCATAATTTTGCCCAGAGGCAACTGCATGTATGAGCTCACATGTGTGTGTGAATATACCCATGAGAGTGTGCATTTTCCCCAGAGAGGGCCTTTTTTGTTCTTCTCAAGAACATTCCTACGAATGTGCACGCTTCCAACTTTCTTTTCCCTTTTAACATAGGATTTTGACTTCATTTTTGCTTTTTTTAAAAATGCGCGTACCCATATATATATATATGTACCTATACACGTGTAGATAGATAGCGCAAATGTTAAACTTTCACATTGTCAGATTTCATTTCCCCGACCTAGAAGACATAGTAAAACTTTTCAATGACACTTTTACCAACAACTGAGTTCCTTACCTTGACGAAGCCTTCGAACTGGCTTCTAATTTCCTCACAGTTCAGTAATGATAAAGGCCCCTCTCCTTTGTTGCATCTCTGTATCGTTTTCATGAACACAAAATCTTCATGAAGATTCCTTTCATCTTCTATCTATTTATGAAATAAGAGGGACATGAGAAATGTAACTCTGAAGGAATGCATCTAGTGATGTCTGCCTCTACACCCACTTCCATGGCATCAACAACAGGCGGAGGACTTTGGGTGTATAAAGGGGGCACAAAAAGTTATTATGCTGGATTACTGCTATTTAGTATTTGCAGGTAAAAAAAAAATCTACAAAGGCCAACAATTAAAATGTCGTATTATCTGAAATTCTAGGTAGAAATCACAGCTACTCTAATAAAATTTCACCACAAAGTGACCCTTCTTTTCAATGTATCATAGCAGCAACATCCCGTAATTGTCATATTTCCCATTGCTCCCCTAATGTCTGGTCATTATAAACACAGTCTATAAAATCGTTTTCTGCTGAGCTAAACTGCCCACTTGATTTTAGTGTTTTTGATGCAGTGCTTTATAAAAAGAAGTTAATTTGCAATGTGTGTCAATTAACTCGAGTTCTAATTACGTCTCTGTCTTTTCAACTTTAGTATTTGTAGAAAACATTTGCATTTTTAAAGAAATCATCTTTCATTTCCAAAGTTGACGAGATGTTTTATTTTCCAATGTCTTAAAATAATTAACTGTATGAAATTCACTTGTATAATCAACTAATTCTGTGCCAGTTTCTTGTCTTAAGATTAAATTTTAGATTCAAAACAAGATCTAGTTAACCGGCGGCTTTGATTGTCATTAAGAGCGCATCTAAATGCTACGGTAAATTTGAGTCGGCCCAGGTCATTATTTCACCTTTAGAGGCTAGGCTTATGTCCAGGCATTTGATTGGCAGAGCCCACCAGGCCAAACGCAAACAAACAACCAGACCCAGAATCCCCCTCTTTTCTCAGCAGTGAAACCTAAAATTTGAGTATCCCAGTGAATTGCCTCAACCATCACTGCCCCACCTCATCCTGATAGAAAACCTCATGGCCTTAATTCTAGGTTGGCATCCCAAGAGAAGACACACAGACATCCCTGAGAAAACGCAGTCTCCAGATGCTGTACATCCACGATTCCCACATCCAGACTTGTAGGAACAGCCAGATAATTGATCAAATTTCTCCTTTCATCTATGATCAATACTTTGTCAACATAGCCAGTAATGCCACTCCGTGGGAGTGGATAAACACGTCAAAACAGGGTAAATTCTAATGGCTATTTTTTCCTAAGAATACAGAACAACCTACTAAGTTACTCTACTTTTTCGTTCCTGTAAGTCCAACTGTTCAAGAATGGAAAACATCTCAGAGGGAAACCGAGCAGCTTGCAACTACAATCAGTGTTTGAAGAGCTACACAGAGAATGCTACTTTTACTAAAAGACTACAAATTCTGGGACTTATCCATGTCTATGCTAATCTGAAGGACTATGAAATTTCATATCAAATTGATGCTCTCCTTTTCTAGTTGGAAATTTAGAAGAAAGAATTGTCTCCATCAGAAAAAATAGTTTACTTTTTAAGCAAAACTTTAGCAAATAACTATAGCTAATGCCTACATAGTGCTTACTTGTGCCAGGCTCTGTTCTAAGCTCATTACAAGGCTAAACTCATTTAATCTATGAGGTGGGTACCATTATTAGCCCCTTTTCTCAGATGTGGAAACTGAGGCATACAAATATAAAATAACTTGCCCAGGATCACAGAGCTAGTAGGGGGCAGAGGCAAGATCTGAACCCAGGCAGTCTGACTGCAGAGCCCAAGCTCTTGACCAGAGACAAGAATAGGAGATCACAGTAGACAACAAACACTATGTCACAGGACCATTTGTGTATTTGGATTCCTACCATTGTCCATCATTTGGGTAGAACTAAAACCAACCAAATCACAAATCAACAAGGACCCCACATTTACTTAATAAAGGCTCATGGTTCATCTTACCTTGTCCAATCTTCTGTGAAGATACACAGCAAAAAGTGCTGACACAATCATCTGGGTGATAAGAAAAACAGTAAGCAAATACATAAAAATTTTCATACTGACGGGTGGTCCAGTGGCCACAGATCGAGGAGAAGGTTGGCTGTACGTTTCGATCATGCTGCGTTAGAGTTGAAATGATGTCTTCTACCCGAGAAGGTGGCAGAGGCAGCATGAGAAGACTGTCAAAGTGGCCACCTTACTCAGGATTAGTTAAGAGCGCACAATCGTCGCAGCCCACACTTCCTGGAAAATGTGCTTCGTAGTCTCCTCTCCCAGCAAAAAAGTTACGTAAAGGTTTTTTTTTTTTTTAAAATTATACCCATATCATTCACTTCCAGGCTTTCCCTTTTGTTAGTAAAGAAGAAACAAGCTTCTTCTTCCATACATTCATTCTTGCCTTGAAATGTCATAGACTTCTTAACAGACTATGGCAGTATTTTCCTATTGCTGTCTAACTTTTGGGGTTCACCAGTTTCAAAGAAAGTGACAAATTAATCCACCAGCAACAGACTTATTTCAATTTCAATCTTACTACTATAAAGCGGGAAGTTGGTATATGGGGAAAGAAACACATGTCAACAAAAGTTTGGATTGGTTTTATGAGTGGTGTGCCACTAACTGCTTCTCAAGACTTCTTTAATCTTTAAACCCCACGAAATCCCGGCAGCTTTTCAAGTCAAGTCTATGTGGCACAAAGCAAAAAGGAGTGCTGACAACTACTAAATAAAATTTAGCTGGAAAGATAATTCAAGAAAAATAAATTTCTCAAAGGCCAAGAGGAGTAGGGTCTTGAGGGAAATCAGGCCAAGACTCTGGGATTGAGGTTAAAGTAGGAATACTAGTTTGACTTAGCCAAGTTGCCTGTCTACACTATTCCACTCCATCAGATAATTGCTGAAGCTGATGTAATGGCTCAGAATAGAGAAAATAGGCTGCGATTAAGACACCAGAATTCTAGTTCTTGCCCTACCAATAAATTGCTATGGACATCGGGCAGATCACTTTACTGCTCTAGACCTCAATTTCCTCATATCCAAAGTGGGCAGTTACCTCTGCCTTGCCTATCCTATAGGTTGTTGTGAAGATCAAATAAAGATGTGCACGAAAGATCTTTGAAACATGTTAAACAATAGACAAACAACTCTTATCCTGAATTGTTTGGAATTTGTTTGGCCTAAGATACGAGTTTTCCAAATAATCACCAACTCCTTACATGCTAGTAAAAACCAAAGGAACAATAATGACCTCAAAAACACTCGGAGTTTTGACAACAAATTGAATCATTAAGTGCGTAGGATTATGCATTTCTGAATGGCTTTTGTGTCGTCTTATCAGATTGCCTTCGACATATAAGCAGCTGTGGAAATCCCTACCCCACATCCCAACCTGGTCTAGAAACCGTGATGAGATAAGATTGCTTTGGTGATTCCTATAAAATTGTTTTGAGAGACAAATAGGAAACGTAAGAAACTGCTCCGATAGGCATGCTATCTGTATAGTTAGCACCTGCTCTCTTCCCCTCCCACGCCCCAGCATCCTGTCCTGGGCCCAGATCTGTGTAGCTTTTCACTACATCTGCCAAGTAGGTGGCTTCAATGCACGTGATAAACTTTGATCAGTCAAGTTAGAGGCTTCGGTTCTTAGACAAGTAACCTTAGTTCCACTGAAGGAAAATTATCACGAGAGCCAAAAGGGGCATAAGGACTTCTCCAAGGCCAGTTTCATACAATTACAGAATGCCAGAGCTGCAAGGACCCTGCGAAGATCAGCTCAGCTGAGCCCCCCAGGGAAAGGACACTTAAGGGACCACAGTGTCAGGATTTGTTTACGCGACCAACTTCAAGAAAGAGTTGTTATCCAATCTTCCTGCCTCCACTTCTGGATCTCCAGCTTCCCGAAGTCTGAATTCTGCCCACAATATTCCCCTGAAACTACTCTCACCATTATTAGCTCAATAGTTTTGGCTGACAGTTTTTTTTGGTGAGGAATATTGGCCCTGAGCTAACATCTATTGCCAATCCTCCTCTTTTTCTTTGAGGAAGTTTGCTGCTGAGCTAACATCCGTGCCGATCTTCTTCTATTTTGTATGTGGTATGCCACCACAGCGTGGCTTGGTGAGTATAGGTCCGCGCCCAGGATCTGAACCTGCAAACCTTGGGCTGCTGAAGCAGAACACACAAACTTAACCACTATGCCACTGGGCCAGCCCCAAGCTGACTACTTTCTAGAGTTCATTTTTAGCGACCTTTCTATTATTCTGACCTGTTATTCTGTTATCATGCTTCTGAAACCTCTCGTATCTTACCTCTCAGAATACTTCTTCATGTGATTCCCTTTTCTCTTTGTAACCCTTAAAACTTTGGTATTCCCTGTCCTCATTCTCCTCTCCCCTCCTCTCCCCTGTTCCCCTCTCCACCACTCCCCTCCCCTCTTCTCCTTCTCCGTGGTTTCCTTGGGTGATTCCCATCCGCTTTTATGGTTTTTACTATCACCTTCATTGTGATAAATCCCGACTCTGTGACTGAAGCCCTGAACTTCAGATTTGCAAGGACAGCTACCTCTGAATATCTCCACTTGGATATCCCAAAGCCACCTCACATTTGGCATGCCCCAAATTTAACTCTTCTCCCCACTCCATTTCCAATCCAGACCTGTTCTCTCTATCTCAGTGAATGGTACCCCACCTGTCTAATTCAGAGACCTGAGAGTCATCCATGATTCCTCCTTCTCTCTTGCCCCAGAGTTCTCATCAATCCCCGTGGCTTCTTCATCCCCAAACCTTCTCAATTGCCACCACTTTTCTCCATCTCCCCTGCCAACATTCTAGCCTAAACCCACATCCTCTCTCTCCTGGATTACTGAATTATACCCTCCTAATTTATCTCCTTGCTTCTCTTCCTGCCTCACCCTATCCATCCTCCATACTACCAGCACTATGTTAATTCTAAATCTTATAACTGACCATATTATCTAATCTGCTTTGAGCCTCCCAAGACTCTGCACCAGATCCAGGCAAGCAGATGGATAGAGTGCCCTGGCATGTTCAACATCAATGGGATTAACTCCAGAATAGCCCGCTTGTACTTCAATCCTTGAAGCCTCCACTTTCTTCCATCCTTCTTCTGCCTGGTCCTCTAGCTTGATGCAACAATTGGCTACCTTTCCAGCTTCCAAACTTTAGCTCTACTTTCTGATCTCTGGTTCTGTTATCATATGTCCTTTGTGTCAGGACCTTTCATGCCTGTGTCTCCCCCAACAAGGAGTGGCCTTGCCCTGGTGTTGGGTCCCTTTTAGAAATCTTCAGCAGCCTAATGCATCCAGAACTGATTCTTAAACTTAGTTTCCAAGAAGTCTGTAGATCTATGGAGGACATGAAAGTGCGTGCAGCCAAAGTCAAAGATCGACCATCTTTTTCTTCGTTCACAGAAAGAATTAAGTTAAGGGATTGAATTGTTTCATTTTTCAGCTTTTCTTGCACCAGATTTTCTTGAATCCCTGTGGCCCTCTTCTACTATTGCTTGTCTTCTAGCTAGTGATCCATCTGCAGCAAATAACTATCAAGGGAAAAACTCAAAAAACAATGGATTGTACTTCAACAGCTTGTTTTTGGTGTGAGTGTGCTTGTGGTTGTGATTTATATTGATAACCTAGAACACAGTCATAGTTTCTGCTAGGAAAATTGTTTCCAGTACCTACGAAAGAGTTAAATATATCAGCATTTTGTTTGTTCTACAAAGGGCCTCACAAGGACTCTTTTCCCTGAACATGTCTGGAAAACCCTAGCCTACAGAACGGTGTCTCGATTCTCAGCACAGCACATGATCTGACCCCTGCCCATCTTTCTGTCTTCATCTCTCACAACTCACGCATGCTCAACCTTGAGCATCAACCGTATCAAGCTGGTTTTATTTCCCTAAATGTGCTATGCTTTTTCAAGCTACCTGTTCTCTGTGCCCATGCTGACTCCCTCCTCTGTTGTCTATTAGTGTTGAAGAGACAGTCCCTCTGTGAAATATCCCCTCCTAGCTGACAAGGTGCCCTTTTCTGTGTTTAATCTATCATAGCATTTGCCACGATACTTCATAATTCACTTGTCTGATTTCCCTACCATTAGCTCCTGGAGGAAAGAGACAATTAAAAAAAATACCTCAGAATCCTTGCTTCTTGACACACTGTAAGGAATTAGTAAATCTTTGTCAAATTACTAAATGTTTTTCAAAGAGGATAGAAAAGGAAGTTGCAAAACATTTTAACCTGGAAGAATAGCACTGGCTAGCCTCCCTGGTGATACAAATTGGAATATATTTGTTTTAAGTTTTCTTCCATTCCTTTAATTCTTTCTCTTTCCTCTGGGGTCAGTTCCATTTGTTTATTTTGGTCCTTCTGTTTCATATGGTTAGTTTTCCTCAAATGTCTGACGACCCTTAGTTATCTGGTCATATTTGTGAGTAAAAAACTATGTGAGCTTTTATGGAGAGATGGCATGGATTTCCTCTGAAATTGCATTGATCTGTTTCCCCCACAAAGCTGTCTCTTGAATGGGAGGGCTGACTGTGGGTTCTGTTTAAGTGGGTAGGGCCTGTCAACAGGAAGGCTTCCCTTTAGGTTATGTGGGTGGAGAGGCAGGAAGACCAGGGACCCCCACAACTGATAACGTAGTAAGGAGGGCTTTTCTTTGGGGGTGGAGCCCTTTAGAGGGTTTCACTTTTGACTGATGCTGGTTTTCCTTTTGTTTTCTTTTTTCTATCTGTTGTGGAAGTCCCTGCACCCTCTGTAGAGTCCTCCCCAGGCAACTTTAGCCTGAGGGCAAAGGTCAAATATTGTTGTTGACAAAGAGTCCCTGGGGGAAGGGAGAGAGGGAGAAAAAGGTCCACTTTTCCCAGCTGTTGCCGTTGCAGCTCTTTGATGAGTTACCATAATGAATGCCTCTCAGCCTACCCCTGCTCTTTGCATTTGTCAACTCTGAGATTGGTGTCCCCTTGGAAAAACCCACTCTGACCTCTGAATTCTTGAATTCAGATTTCTCTGTTAGTCCAAATTCATTGACTTTCTTGCTTCCTGGTATCCCTCAAAACTTATTTCAGATTGATGTCACCTTTCCTTGTTTCTCATGGTTGTTGTGGTTTTGTTCTTTTTTACATTTATTTTTGACTAAGTAATACATTCGCGTGGTGAAAAATGTAAGTGATACAAAAGAGTGTACAATGTAGTCTTCCTTTCACCTCTTCCACCCAGTTGTCCATTGTTATCCAGTGTCATCAGTTTCTTATGTATCTTCCAGAGATGCTTTATGTGTATTCAAGCAAATACATAGATATTCTCTCTCACCCTTTTTTACACACAGTAGTATAAAAGACGCTATTCTGCATCTTTGTTTTTTCCTTTAACAATATATCTTGGAGGTTATTCCATGTCAGCAAAGTACTTCTTTATTCTTTTTTTGTTACAAACGCATAGTATTCCATTGTATGAATGAAATACTATAATTTATTTAACTAGTTGCCTATTGATGAACATTTAGGTTGTTTCCAGTCATATGGTATCAAACAATGCTGCAACAAATAACCCTATACTTATTCAATTTTAAAAGTTTCTTTTCAGACATTACCGTGGGATCTGGAAGGCTAAAAATCACATATATTTTTTAA